GTTCTTGCGCATGTTACAACTTGCTTCGTACACCCTCTGCGGGGATCGTGCGTGTCGGAGCGCTCCCGCTGTGCGTTTTCGCACATTTTACAACTTGCTTCGCACACCCTCTGCGGGGATCGTGCGTGTCGGAGCGCTGCCGCTGTGCGTTTTTGCGTATTTTGAAGCGTGGTCGTGCACCCTCTGCGGGGATCGTGCGTGTCGGAGCCTTCCTCACAAATGTAGTACGCCGCGGACGCCCGGAGCTGCCGTAGCTGGAAAGTCGACTTTTTGTAGTACAAACGTAGTACGCCGCGGACGCCAGGAGCTGCCGTAGCTGGAAAGTCGACTTTTTGAGTCCGCGGACGCCCGGAGCTGCTGTGGCTGGAAAGTCGGCTTTTTGTAGTACAAACGTAGTACGCCGCGGACGCCCGGAGCTGCCGTAGCTGGAAAGTCGACTTTTTGTAGTACAAACGTAGTACGCCGCGGACGCCCGGAGCTGCCGTGGCGCGAAAGTCGACTTTTCCCGAAAGCTTCAGCGAAGGGTTCTTCGGAGAAACAACAAAAACGTTAGCCCTACCACACTACCACACACTCGCACTACCACACACTCACACTACCATCACCACACTACAATCACCACACTACCATCACCACACTCCTACCACACACACACACTACAATCACCACACTACCATCACCACATTCCAATCACCACACTCCACACATCACCTCCTCTATTAAATTCTCTCTTCTTTCTTAAGCTGGGGTGGGTTTCGCCGCGGCCAGCGCGATGCACCACTCTGCGGGGATCGTGCGTGTCGGAACTCTAGGGCTTCGAAAACGTCGCACATACCGTGGGCGCGGAACTCTGGGGCTTCGAAAACCTAGCAAATACCGTGGGCGCGGATCTCCGGGGCTTCGAAAACCTCGCAAACACCGTGGGCGCGGGCGCGAAACTCTGGGGCTTCGAAAATGTCGCAAATACCGTGGGCGCGGAACTCTGGGGCTTCGAAAACGTCGCAAATACCGTGGGCGCGGAACTCTGGGGCTTCGAAAACGTCGCAAATACCGTGGGCGCGGAACTCTGGGGCTTCGAAAACGTCGCAAATACCGCAGGCGCGGAACTCTGGGAGATAGAAAACATCACAAAAACCGTGGGCGCGGATCTCTGGGGCTTTGAAAACGTCACAAACACCGTGGGCACGCAACTCTGGGCTTCGAAAACCTCGCAAATACCGTGGGCGCAGAACTCTGGGGCTTCGAAAACGTCGCAAATACCGTGGGCGCGGAACTCATGGGGCTTCGAAAACATCGCAAATACCGTGGGCGCGGAACTCTGGGGCTTCGAAAACCTCGCAAATTTTGTGGGCGCGGAACTCCGGGGCTTCGAAAACCTCGCAAAGACCGTGGGCGCGGAACTCTAGAGCTTCGAAAACGGCGCACTAGCACTACGCTACCATCGCAACATTACCATCACCACATTATCATCACCCCATTGCCGTCATCGCGCCACCATCGCCTCAGCTATACTTACTTACTTACTTACTTACTATACACGGCCTCTCTACAATGCCTATTCTATTCCATCTTCTTTGCGTTTCGCGTCCTTTTCGCTGTCGACGCGACACCTGCTTCCTATCCTACTACACCACACCACGATCACCGCACTGACAACACAACCAACTCTACGTGTCAGTTGATATCTTCGCACTGATTGCTTTCGGGATAATCGGTGTCTAGTTTTTTTCCCGTCTGCCGAACTGTGCTTAGGTGGAGCAAGGTGTCGAGCGGCGGGCCGTCGCTATTCTCAACGTCGTCTCTCGAATCACCATGTACATTGAAGTTAGGCAAGACGCACAAATTCCAAACACAAGGACTTTATTTTCTGCAGAACAAACATATTGCAGTGCGAAATCGGCTGTGCTGTTCAGCTTTGAATGTCTTGCAAAGGTGTATGCTGCTTGTTGGTTGGCGACAGGTGGATGGTGAACCTTTGTCTAACACCATGACGCGCATGAATCAACGGGTCGCCTCAGCCCTCCAACAGCCCTCCAACAGCACCCTGTCACTGCCGGGGATCAGCGATTGCTGTCAAGGCAATACAATTTTGCGACAACCGTGACGAGAAGTCAATGGCCGAGCTTGGTTTGCAGCTGGGATGCAGGCCGCTGGAATGGCGGTTCCTTGGGGCTCATGCGCGACCTTGTGCGTGCCCGCGCCTGCCGGGCACAGTACGGCGAGCAGCGAGGTGAGCTCGGTGGTTAGCGAATACGACAACACGACCCACTAGAGTTGTGGGCCGGCCCCGTGCAAAATGGGATGATCGACTGTCAAAGTTTGCTACCCAATGCTTCCCAAACTATGTGAGCTGGGTTGATGCTGCAAGTATGTTGAGCGATGGAAACTCAAGAAAGCTGAGTACACACGATGTAAAATGTTTATTTTTTCAAAGTGGTGAAAATATAAATAACTGTCGTTCGCGAACGTTTTTACCAACAACCTGTCCCATGTCCCTATTAGAAGAAGTGTTTGATCACGTGTTACGACCTACATGCGAATTTTGCTTGATTCCTAATAAGTTCCAGCAGCGGCTGATAAGTCATGATAAAGCCTGATGACGTGCTATAAACAAACCGGGGCCTTGGGCCGAGCGTGGCCGGCTGTGCCACTGCCTGGGCCGAGCGACGGCCCTGCACTGGACCGCGTGCTCGACCTCGCCACCAATGAAGGGCCTAGCCGCCTGCCCCTGCGGCCCTAAACCGGGACCGCCTGCTGTGGTAGTTCGACCAACGTAGCTCTGGCACCGTGTTGCAGTCGGAAAAGGCCAAGGAAAAAAAAAAAAAAAAAAAAAAACAACAACAAACAAACCGGTCCACCTCAATACATGCATGCCTGCATGCCACTGCGCCCCCTCCACCGGCCGCGGACGCCGCACCTCCTACTGCCCCTGCCAGAAACCGCGCAGGCCCGCGCGCAGCTTGCTGCGCCACCAGGCAGGCCTCGCCGAGCAAATGCCGCCTATGCTCATGAGCTCGTTGCCGCTCTTGCAGACGAGCCAGCCCGATCAGGAGGATCCTCGACCTCACCCGCGGGTGGCATCGCCGCTTTTTCGTCAGCTCCTCTTGCGCAGGCTCCGCCTCCCCCTGCCCCTCACGGCTGCCAGATGCCGATGCTAAGCAAGACAAGACCCTTTTGGCGACCACCGCGCTGCATCCGTGCTCAGGCGTCCTGCGCGCACGTGCTGGCCCGCTGCAGCGAGCGGCCGTCCGGGTCTGCAGAGAAGCAGAGGCGACGGTTGCCCTCAACGTCCTCGTCCGAGATCTCAAGCTCGACCCCGTCCGCCCAGACGACCGGCGCACAGAGGTGATCGCCAACGGGCTGCGTCTGTGGGGGGGTGCAGGGGGTGCCCAATTCGCGAGCACAGGGCCAGGGGCCAAACTGCTGGCGCAGCCCTCCGGGCAGCCAGGCGGCCAAGGAGCGCACATACCCGGAGTTCTGCCGCTGCTCCAGCGCCAAGTTCCCAGCCACTTCCCGGGCCTCAGGCATCTTTGCCTTCACGCTGCGTGGGTCGTCCCTCCGCGGACTTTCGCCGCCAGTCTCCTATCGTTCCGCTCCTCAGCGAGATCAGCGAGGTCCTCGTCGATTCCGCCCTCCCTCCCCCATTGCCAGCCGCTCCCCGTGATGGCTTTCGAGCCTTGCCTTTGCGCTGCACCGGGACGGCCTTGACCAGCAGGAAAAGGCACGATGGGAAAATAATCACCAGCACCCCCTCCTGCATCCGCAGACGCCACACTCCCTACTCCCACCTACATGCCACCAGCACCCCCTCCTGCACGCAACCTGCATGCCTGTGGCCCTAACCAGGATGCAGGCCCACCTACGCTGAGCTCGCTGCCGGGGGGCCCGAAACGCCTCGTCCTCGTCGTGCTGGGCACCGAAGGCGGCGGCTGGAATGGCGGTTCCTCGGGGCTCATGCGCGACCTAGTGCGTGCCCGTGCCAGCCGGGCACCGCCCGAGCAGCGAAGTCAGGATGGGCGCGCAGATGGTGGAGCATACTGTCAATCGCGGTGCAACAAGCAGTGGCGGGGACGGCGCTTGGCTCGCCCACCAGCACGGCGGGGGCGCGGAGTCCTGCAGCCGGATGCCGGTCAGGGCGTAGGAGCCCGTAGTTAGACTGACTCGGGACTCGGGAAAGTCCTTGAGAAAAAAGAACATCGGACTTGCGCATTTTCCGGGGGCCACAAGTTGTTGTCACGCCTAAGATTTTTCCGTGGCAGAAGCTGCGGGCCATGTGAAGGAAGCACCATGGTCAACACCAACAACGCATGGATGAACCAAGACAGAGAGAATCATGAAATCCCGGCACGATTGTCATTGTAAGTTACACAATGAACAACTTACATTGACGGTGTACCTCGCTGCCGATGTCGAGCAATGTTGTCCAACAGACGCCTGGCCTGGTGGTCCCGATCAGACAATGCACGCTGGCTGGCCTCCCAGTGCAAAGTCGCGTGTTCATGGAATGAACTTCTGGGAAGGTCGTCGATCTTCGAGGCCGCGCAAGTGCTTTCACACAGGACAAATGCATGAAGCAACGTGGGCGAGTGCGGGCACCAAATTCACGGATCGGAGGCGAAACTTGGGAAGCTACCTTGGCACTGTGTTGTGTTCGCCCACCGACCTCGGCAACTCAGTTGGCCCATTGTGCATGGACGTTGGCAAAGTGGCAGAGACATGGCCGCAACGCCAACATTGAATGTGTGCAACGCCTATTTCGTGAATGTTGGAATCGCCAGTTCCACGCGCAGTTTACACATCATGAATTGCAGTGTACATTGTGGGCGGTTGGGATGTTACCACATCCAGACAAAAGTGTTCTGAACCTTTTGGTGCGTGAAAGCTTCCAACGCTTGTTGCCGGATGGGTGCAAGTCGCCAGCTGTACTTCCTTTTTCGGTTGGCAACATGTTCTGGGTGATGGCCAAGTCAGACGCTTTTGAAGAACATGTAGCTGCACACATGCTGCAGCAGGCGAGGCGACTTTTGCCAGTTCTCAGTCCAAGAGACTTAGCGGGCATTTCTTGGGCGTGCGCTTTCACCCTATATGATGATTCGCCGATTCTTGCTGCAATATCAAAGACATGTGATGCGTGCAAGTTCTTTGGGTTTTCAAGCCAGCAGCTGGCAAATTTGGCTTGGGCATTTGCACGTGTCCTGGGGCAGAGCCATGATCGATCCGGCATATCTCCTGAGTTTTGGGCGGCCATTGTTACGAACATCGGGGAGTTCAAGCCACAGGAATTCAGCATCACTCTGTGGGCGGTTGCCAAGTTGAGGTTGCCTGGAAACGCATCCATGCACGACTTGAATTTGGTGGAGCAGGTCGGCACAGAGATGATGCAGCAAAACAAGTTTGGGCCACAAGAGTTATCCAATTTGGCCTGTGGTGTGGCACGTTTGTTTGTGTCCCACACAAAACCAGTTGACCGATCACTATCTTTATTGACGTCGATCGCCACATCACGGATGTCCGAGCTGAAATCCCAGCACGTTGCCAACATTATGTGGTCGTTGGGACACACGCGTTGCTTGCAAGAAGGTTTTGTACATGCCACAATGGAAATACTTGAGTTCCAGCTTGCGTCGTATGCCACGCTTGAGCTGGTGGGTCTGATGTGGTCTTTTGCACGGCTATCGACCCATGTGGCAGTCCAGCTGCGCAACAGAGATGGTTTCGGTTCAGGGCATGTGCGTTCAATAAGAATATGCCAGGGCCAGCTATCGCATGTGCCAATCAAAGTTAGGGGGTTGCGGGTCCGAGGCTTCAGGTCTTGTGTGCAGCTCAGTACACCGGGGGGGGGGGGGGGTAGGAGTCGCTCTCCGCCCAGCCTGTTCTGGACAGTGGGGCTTGTTGTAAAATTGTTGTTGGGTTTTTTTTTTGTCTGGGTATGTCTTGGTCGTCCCCACAAGGCATCCTTCCTTGGGTCTGTACCAAAGGCAGGGGCTCCCTCCCCAGCTTTCTCAGTTTCAGAAAGTGGGGTGGTTCACTCTTCAACCACTAGCTGCAGCATTTCCTAAGATTGAGCCCGGCCTGGCACATTGAGAGAGTGGCCCTGTGAGAGTGGTCCCACCTCCCAGATATGCATCGTTCTACTGAAACTTGGCGAGAGCAACTCCCTGTGGGGCAAAACGTTTCCTACGCACTTGCACACGCTTCAAAGCTACGGAAAACTGCAGAAAGCTGAGCGACTCCAGACTATGCAAACAAAACTGCAAAAAACCTCACCGTGTCGCACCCTCACAGGATGAAACACAAGTCGTGAACTTCTACATCAAGCAAAAGACATGTGTCAACAACACTGCGCCAGAACAAAAGTTTCTCGAGCCAGGACTTGAACTTTCGACACCCTACTGGTGTCCCGAACTCCGTTTCGGAGACCCACTGATTTGTATGTCAACAGCATGAACAGAATTTGTTCCGGCAATCAAATTGAGCATTGTAAGGCGGATATCCTGCTGGAGAACGTCTCCGGGAGGCTGTTGTCTTTATCCCCTATGTTGACTGGTCAAGGTGTTGCGAATTTGCTATGGGCATTCTCTATCTTGATGCTTGCTTGCATTAGACCGCAGACTGCGACCGCGCGATTGTGCTTTCCATAGACAGCTGTTGTGGAATCCTGTTTGCATGCTTCCATGGACTCGATCAAGGTCGTGCACCAGCACGGCACGTGAATGGTCCGAATTTTGTGATTCAGCTCGCCCGCTGATTCACTGCAACGCCCAAGAGCTGTCCAACATTGCCTGGGCGCTGGTGAAGCTTGCGATTTGGAAGAATATTCCCATGAAGCTGATTGCCACATCTTTCATCAAGAACTCCGAAAGCTTTAGCTCGCAGAACATTGCTAATTTGGCGTGGGCATTTGCGCAAATCCGTGAGCATGAAACTGGCAGCCTGGCATCTTTCTGGGCCACCGTCGTACGTGCCACATGCTATCGAATTTCCGAGTTCCAGCTGCAAGAGCTAGCAAATCTGTGCTGGTCGTTTGCTTCCGTCAAAAACACCAGCGCTTTGAAGTTAATTGCGGATGAGCACCTTGCAAGGATTCCTGCCTCAACTTACACAGGGGCGGATCCACGAAGTTTGTTGGCTATGGTTTGGGCGTTGTCGTTCGCGGGTATGAAGCACAAGCTTGTGTTTCAGACAGTACGACGCCAACTCCGGAGGTATGGCAGGGATCTGGACCGGCAAAACGAACAACTGCGTGCGGTATGTGCGGTATGTCCCCTTCCTGCCAACGGTGGGCATGGCGGGTTCGGTGGGGAACCGGGAATAGTGTTGGAGTTGGCAGACGTCGTTGTCTTGACAAAGCCACCTGGCTGGGAGGTTGAACGCGAGCTTCCTTCATCGACGAATGGAGGTTGGAATGGCAAAGACAACGTACATGTCCTAGAGCATTTGTTTCAACTTCAGACCTTCCTAATGTTTACAGCAAGGGCTGCTCCCATCTGGTTCGACAAGCCGCATCATTTCGGATTCCTGCATCGTTTGGATATCCCGGGCTCCGGCCTAATTCTTGCCGCAAGAAGTTTCGAGGCATACTACGAGCTTTTGTACCAGCTGAATGGAAACATGATCGTCAGAGACTATGTGGTTTTATGCCATGGATGGCTATCTCAAAAGAAGACCACGATCACTGCACCCATTCACTGGACCCCCGGAAACCCAGCACCTAGCCAAGTTCGTTCTGGAGGCAAGCCGTCCGTCAGTTGCATGACCGTTGTGGCTCGCTTTCGCCAAGAAGGTGAGTGCTTCAGCTTGCTTGCGGTGCGCATAGGCACTGGCAGGACGCATCAAATTCGTGTTGCTTGACTGTAAACGCAGCCGTTCACGTTTGATTTGACGCTTGAAGGGCTGCGTTTTGTTGCACGACTTAATTATGTGCAAGTGTCGCATTTTCAGGGATGTGCAGATATGCCAAGGCTCATGCGGCCCACATTGGCCATCCAGTTGTCAGTGATGGCAAATATACCAGCGATCGAACATTTCACAAAGATCTGAAATGGTGCCCCCGCAATTTCTTGCATCGCTACAGGCTCGCCTTTCAAGGACAAAGGTCACGACGGATTCAGGTCACGCAGCCGCTGCCAAACGACTTACGTGCGGCGCTTGCAGAGTTGCAGCCGGTCGACATGCAATCCAACAGCGTGCTGCGCTCTATTACCTCAGACGGTTGCCTGACAAGGTGGCTTTCTTGTTGTCGCTGAGGCTTTCTAAGTGGAGAAAACCTGCTAGCGTACAGTGGCACGTTCATGCCAAAACCTGTTTGGAAAATTGTTATGGGGTGGACATGGATGGACAAGAGGGCCTGATATATAACCTAGTCCCAAGGAAAAGAAATTCGCCGTACGCAGTTGTCCAGCATGTAGCATTAGTAGCGCGTGTCATTGCATGGTGGGGCTCCAGGGCAGTCCATCCTACCTTTGCTCCATGCTACCAGTATCAGGTGGCAAGACGATGGATGACACCTGTAACCTGCCAGAGTTTTCGTGAAGAATCGTACTTGGCATTGCCCATGGCGTTTTCAGCGCTGGAAGCGCATACGCAACTTGCCGCCATTCCCCAGCAGTGGGAAGCGTTGCTTGGGATGAAGATGGGAAGGTTCGGCAACTTACATTTGTTGACTGCGGACAGGCTCGCCGAGCGGCAGGATGAGCATAGTGTTGTGAACAGGTTCCCTTTGACGCAGCAGGTGCATGTTACCAAGTTGCCAGGTTGCATGGGCTCGACAAAAACAACGGCGAAGTACCGTGTTGATGTAAAGCGGCTGCGGCCCTCAACGGTCACCCTAGAATTGCGTGCAGGTTGCTTCCAGGTGAAAGAATGAATGTTTGCGCAGGCGGCTGTTATTCATTTACACATTGCAAGCTGGAAGCCAAGTGCAACCAGCAACAGCCTGAGTTGAAGCTGCTTAGTCTTTCTCGGGATTCATTGCTCGAAAGCTGGCATGGTGCAAGTCCAAGATCGTAATGAGTCCGCATGATGCCGCCCGCGCTGCCTCAAGTGTAATCGACTACTCCTTGATGACGCGACTGCGACTTCTTTACGCGAGGGCATCGCCCAAGTCAAGGTGTTCTTTGTCGCCGCTTGCTGTTTCATTTTCCTCTACTTCAGCAGCTCGTCCTTCTCACAGGTTCCATGGGCACTGCGATGATCCACCAGCACTTGTGATACCGTTGCGTGCATCTGGTCGTGTAGGCTGGGCGAGTACATGCGCTGACTTGCATGCCTTGATGGTGCAAGGCTTACCTCTGGACGCGGAGTCTTTCCGGATGTGCATGAGCACCTGCATGAAAGGTAGTCGGTGGGATCTGGCTTTGGAAGTTTTCTGGCTCATGCAAGCTAGCCATGTCCAGATCAACATATTTGCATTGAACATTGCACTCAATGCTTGCGCGAGATCCCAGCAGTGGGAGGATTCATTGGAGCTCTTCGGCCTGAGCCACTGGTACCGCATCAACGCAACATCCACGACCTTCAACACGCTCATCAATGCATGTGGTCGTGGACATTCTTGGCAGATGGCGCTGGAAGTTTTGGAGCTAATCTGATTTAGAAGTGCTTTAAGATGTTCTTCATGTTGCCTCTAGTCTGGAAGACAACACAGGCAGTTCATACACATGCAAGGGTGCATATCTACATAGGTCAAAAAGAGAAATACATAAGTAAACATATGTGTATATATATATACACGGATATACGTTTGCGCACCGGCGCCCCCCCCTTCCCTTGCCACTCCCTCGTCTCATGACCTCATATTATTCCATGAACTTGGGTTCTTGCTTTTCGGCGTAAGGATGTCTGTGCCCAGAGGCCGCCGAAGCTAACGTTCGGGTCCTGAGCCCATTGTCCTGACAAGCGCCTGTGTTTGTCTTTCCCGCCCCTTCCCGGCTCGAGGCACTGGTTTCCTGACTTACATCTCCGCGTTCTCGCGACTCACTCCTTCCTTTTTCTCGCCTCGCGATAATTCTTCCCCGACTCGCACCCTGATTTCAAAGCGACATTGAGATCCTTTTGATTCTTCGTATGAAGTAAAGAGTTCTTACTTGTCTTGAACGTAAAGTCATATTTCCAGACTTCGCCTTACATCTACTGAGGCTCGCACGTGTTATCTAAAGTTCTTTCATCCCCACTCCACCCTTGCTTTCCCCTCGTATCCCCAGACCTTGCTTCAAAACCTCGTTGGCATGTCGGGGTGCTAGCATGCCTACGAGCAATTCAAGACCAAAAACGTTGGGACCTTTGACCATTCATGCTCTTGGGCTCGTGGTAGGGCTGGAAGCGATGAGAAGCCTCAACTTGAAGAGTTTTGCCTTTGTGGGAGGGGGGGGGGGGGGGTTCTGCAGGGGTTCTGCATCGCTGGAAATACTCGTGCAGTGAGGTCCCAATCCTGTCAAGACATTGGAATCTCTCATGGTTTGGGGCTGGGGTGGCGCGTGCTGAAATCCCCTTGATACGGTCTTGGCTCTACTTGCTGCTAGCAAGGCAGAATCCGGACATTAGGAGCAATGCGCGAGACGTGCTCCAAGACTCGGTCTCCAAAGACGATGCTCCTCCAGTCTTGACCGTTCTTGCTGCTTTGTTCACTGGACAGAAACAGGAGGCCGGGGCTCTGCACGAAGACCTCCATGTGAAAGCATAGTTAGCTGATTGGTCAGAAGGGTAAACAAATCCATGATCTGTTGTGGCCCCAACACCTAATGCACCTCTCGCTGCTTCCAGTAGCTTGCACCAGTTGGGCTCCTTGGCTGTGCGCAGTTCAGCCATCCTTCTTTTCTTTCATCGGTTCCTGGTCCTTCTTCTGCTGTTGTTGATATTTTCATAGTTCGCCTCCAACTACTTTCGCGCAGTTGTCCGGTGGACTTTTGGGTGTCCCTTGCTGTCCGGCTGCCAGAGAACGAAATGGCGGAAGTGCATGAACATGAGTTGTTTCATTGCGAGCCGTGCTTAAAACCGATGGTATCTTGATGGTATCTTCTCCTGGTTTACGTTTTGTTTTGCATTTTTTTGCCTACTGAGTCTCGTAGCGGTAGGCTCGGCCCGAGTTCATCGGACTCTTGCTGACTGCGCAAAAGCCAGATCAATTGCACGCGGTACTTAGGCAGGAGCAAGAAAGCCAATGCAACAGTGCCCCAGTTCAAAGCACCCACTTCCCCACCCACGCTTGTTTCAAGGATCAGATGCCACAATCGAAAATCTCACCGGATTCATTCAGCTTTAACACGGCCATCAGCGCATGTGAGAAAGTTGGTGAAGTGTTTCGTGCTCGCCGACTTCTTGTGCAGATGCAAAAGCACATGTGTCAGAAGGAAGTCCTGGCATACAATTCAATCATCAGCGCTGCCCAGAAGGGCAGGCAGTGGGAACTGGCACTTGAAACGCTTGCAGACATGCACTCCTCTCTTGTAGCCGCCGATGAGATCAGCTACAGCGGTGCCATAGCCGCTTGCCACCATTGTGCGAGATGGGAACAAGCCCTGGATTTGTTTGGGGCCATGAAGTTAGCGGGACTCACACAAGGTCCTGCCGCTTGCAATGCAACAATCATTGCGTTACAGGCGGGCAGTCAATGGCGAGCCGCGCTGCATTGTGTCAAAGTTGCTCCTGTGGCAGATTTGACGGTAGTTCGCCCTACGTTAGATGCAAGCGGACGTTCCGGCTTGGCACATCTCTTGGAGTATACAGCACGAGAGCTCACGAAACAGCTGTCATTTGAGCTCAACTTGCGAAGTGTTGGTCTTCAGAGAGGTGTCCGAAGGCCACCACTTTTGCAGCAGGGTCGTTTGCAGCAGGGTGGCCTGCCTCCGGGTGCTGACGTGTATGTCGCCGGAGCCAGCCTGGAGCTGGTAGCGGCCGCGGCCGAAACTTTGGACAGCCACTTCAGCCACTCAATCAGCGAAGGGCTAAGCCGATCCTTACATCGAGGAGTAGTGACCCCGGTTCGTATGGTGCTCTTGGGCATCCGGGGCATCTGTTGTAGTGAGCAAACTGTCAACGTAAGGACGTCCGAGGGCAAACCGCTGAGGAATGAAGTTCTGCGGAAATGTGCATCTTTGGGGGCATCCTTCCTCAAGGCCCTGTTGTGCAACATGCTGCAAGCCCCGACTGACATAGGTGAGCCATTGAGGGCTCATTTTCTTTCTCATATGTGCGCACAAGAGTGTCAGTCGGACTCTGATGGCGCAGAGCTCCGGACTAAATCTGGACATTCACCGGATCCGCGCGGTGATCGCGGTGATCGTGCATGGTTCAGACCAGTGAAACCAGTTCCCGCTGCCGCACACTTGATCACTGTTGCCCTGGTCCATCTGCAGACCAGGAGAAGTCGGATGATCACCTCCGATCTGATTCTGTGTAGTGGTCTCTCTAGAAGAACCGCGCCCCGAGAAGACCTGCAACAAAGCTGGTATTCGCAGTTGTTGCTGAAGAATGCTGAAGGCTAAAGCCTTGTCGCCAGGATTGTTCATATCTGTCTCAACCAAGCTACGCCAGACCCATTGAATGTGTCATTTGCACGGCACTCTTGGCTCAAGACGAAAAATGTTCCCCCTGAGTTGTGCAGTTTGTTTCTGACTGGTCTGTGCACTTCGTGTCAAACTGAAATTGGCGCATGCCTCTGGAGGGTTTGGTTTGTGTTGAGGCTGTGAAGTTGTGAAGTGTATGTACTTGTAGAGTCAGTAGCGGCTTGCCTGCATGATGCAACTTCTAGCTCGCAGCTTTCCGCACACCGCCGTCGAGACTGAAGTTTGGGGTTTTGGGGTGGCAGAGCTGCACTGAGACGAATGCGCTCCCGTCCAAGCACTCCAAGCAGCACTCGACCGCGAAGCGCGCGAAGCGCCTCTTCGGTGCGATTCCGCACTCCAGAGACGGTGGACCGCCCAGCTGCCGCCCATGCTGCCGCCCATGCTGATTTATCGCCAGACCTATGCGTGGTTGGAAAAGATGCACCAAAACGCGCGGCCAGGGGATTTACGAACAAGGGAGGCAAAATCGCTGGCAAACGCCAACCAGGACCTGTAAGATTTGTAAGGTGCGTGGCAGTGTTTCTTCACGATTTGCAAGTTGCACAAGTTTGCACATGCTGAGCGCCCCTGAGGAAGCTCGGGCTCTCGGAGACCTGCGGAGGTGCAAAGAACCCTCCCCAGATTGGGTGAGCCAAGTGAGCCAAGTGAGCGCGCCCAGACGCTTACGCCAGATCGGGTAGGCACCCTGCTCGAGAGTCTTGGGATCACGGCAAACAGCGCACTAGTGAACAGAGTACTCGATGAGATTCAAAATGCAGATCGAGTCACTGATCGAGGACCAGATAGCCAGGCTTTAGAATCCACCCAGGCGGGCAAAATGTCGAATTCAAGACCAGAGCAGCCCTGAAAGCAACTTGTTTTGGACGTGAAGTTTTTGCCTGACAGGACCTGGAGACAGCTGCAGCAGCCCAAGAGACACATCTTGCACCACGGGCGTGCCCAAGCGCAGATTCCCGTGATCGTCGTGGTCGTGTCCCAGGTGTGCTGGAAGAAGTTCTCGGGGATTTTGGGAATGAGTTCCAGCCACTGCCTTCCGTTGCTTCACCGACTTCGCCTACTTCATCGCCTCTTCAATCCCCTGAAGCAGTGCTGGCAAGGCTACGGTCGATCAGGCTACGACGACGCTTGGGGATCGCAGACTTTCAAAAATTGGGTGATGTGAGTGGTGACGGGCGCTTGACTTGTGCAGAACTGGGCAAGGTGCTGAGAACTGCTCCATGGAAGCATTGGATTCCTCGTTGTTTTGTAGTGGGTTTCAGTGGGTTTGTGGGTCATTGTCGAGTTTTTTGTGTACTCAGCTCGTCCAGCTTGATAGGGCTAGAGGCTAAGCAAGCCTTCAAGGTCCAGGCAAACTACATTTCTTATCATTTGCTGTGACAGGCTGTCGCGGGGCAGGTCCTCCATCCGAAGTGAGGTGAGCATGAAGGGATAACAAGTACCTGAACTGGCAAGAGCCAGCAGCAAGGCATGGACTTGACTCGCCAACAAGAGCAGACACACTGTGAAGGCTTACAAGTGAGGGTCTCAAGAAACACCCGGCAAACCTGTCATAGCCTTTCGTCCAGTTGCAATAACTCGCCGCCCAGAGATGACCAGAGTGTCTTTGACGTGTTGAGCGCACTAAGGTTGGCATCCTTGCAGATGACAATCTCGTGCAGAATGTCTTTGACCAGATAGACAGAAATGGCAACGGCAAGATCAGTTTATTCGAGCTCTTCCAAGCGATGAAGCCATCCAGCTCCGAGATACTTGCAGCTCTGAATGACGTGAAAGACCGAAAACATGTCTCCCTGTCGACTTTGTTCCGTCCGTACGATTCGAACGGGGACGATAAGTTGACGCCTGGTGAATTCCACCACATGCTTAATGATCTTGGCTTCGAGCTGGATGATGGGGCGGCGAGGGAACTGCTCAGTGTCATCGTTCGAGACCAAGACAGGCCCTTAGATGGTGGCAACCTGTTGCCTTTGCGGGATCTGTCGCTGGCCTTGCAACGCGCAGGTGGGTCCTGGCTGCTCTGACATGACTCCTGTGTTGTTCATATTCTGAAGACACCCCGCATGACTAGCTTCGGCTCAGACACCGTCCTGCAGCATCTGCCATCTAGGGAAGTCGTCTTTCATACTTGAAACAACTTGGAACAGTTTTCCATGTCTCAGTTTCCGAGTATTCCGAATACGACGGCCTGCAAAACAATACAGTGGAGGGCCGCTCGGCCAGCGCAATCTTCGGAAGAGTCCGTAAACACAGCATCGCACAGCAAGCTTGGGGGGGTAGGCAGGTCCTGACATGTCCTGGCAGCATGCCTGTTTAGCAGTACAGAAGACGAAGATTCGTACTACACATGGCTCACCAAAGTAAGCATAAGCAAGCCTTGGAGCTTTCGCTACTATAGACTTCTTGGGATTTCAAAGATGAACAGAGACGTCGAAGCGGTTGGGGGGGCTGGGGTGGGTGGTGGGGGGACACGCCATCAAGGAAGTTATGCCGGTACCTTGCTTTTTTGGCACCATCCTGAGGTGCTGGTGTTTAGGCAGGACCCTGAAGACCGTAAGCCCTTGGTTCCATCTCCCTTTTTCATTCGGGCCCTCTCATGGTGAGCTTCGTGGAAGGCGAGGAAAGCATTGACGAAATGCAGAAGAGAAACCAAACACACCTCTGCTCCGGAAGGCATCCCAAGCAAACAGTGTTTGCGGCATTTTGCGGATGTTTCAGATGTTTCGGGAACACCGCTGGTGGGAGAGGTTGCCTTGTCAGCTCCGGCCAAACATCTTAAAACATCACTCGCAACATTAAGTCTTATAGTTTCCAGAGGCCTCAGAAGTACGGGATGTTCCAGTGTTGTGCTCGAAATTAATGTGAATGGGTGAATCAGCCGCAATTGCGCTGCATTGTCGAGGCCAGCCAGATTTGCCAGGCCGACTCTCGAAGGCAGGTGCCACATGTGCCACCATGGAGGCATCGCTGGCATCACCCGCAAATTCTCCAGCCATGCCGGCAATCATGACCTCCGTGTCGGACGGTGCTCCTAGCTGCCCCAGCCCCGACCGTGCGTCTCAAAGCTCCCCTAGGCCCAGGCGACCAGATACAGTACCAGAATTTGTCAGTGGTCTTGCAACTGGACCAGCTGCGTCGGTAGTCCCTGAGAGCTGTGCTGTCCAAAACAATTCCATGCAAATGTTGATGCATGAGCCGCAGATCCCGCCAGAGTTCGGCAAGTCCGTTGCTGGACCTGACAGACAACAGGCCCCATGTGGTCTGCCACTAGGCTCACCAGCATGGGAAGGTCTCAACCGAATTTTTTATCGGCTGGCCCAACAAAGCCGAGAAGTCTCAACTGCAGAGCTTATTCTCGCTATTCGGAGCGACGTGCACGTGAGGAACGAGGGTTTGCTTCATCGGCCAGTAATTGCGACTGAGGAAGGCAGCATTCCAGCAGTTTCTTTGGACGCAGCGCTTCAGCAAATCAGCGAGCAAGTGCAGCAGGGCATCGGACACCTGGATACAGTGACTTGGGATCGATTCTACTGGCTTCTTCTGGAAGCACACAGGCACCGGGCCGTCAGAGCCGCACCACCGCCAAGACCACCTACCCGGCCTACCCTGCCCAGTACCAGCCCCATTCCTGGAATCAAGACCGCCATGATGCCAGAGAACTGTCCAGTCGATCCGGATGCTGCACCCGCCGCTTCCATTGAGTATGGGCCCTAGCTTGCACCGGCTTACACGCGCTGTCCGGCTGTTCGGCCCACTGTGCATGCGCCATAGATGTGCCATAGTTGTGCCATTCTCGAACACGCATAAATACGCACAGCAGTATAGAGACTCAGGTGGATGACGCGGGAGTGCAGCTGCAACCACGAGATGTTGTATCGACTCTTAGAAATGTTTACATACTGCCGTGGAACTGACCTGACGCATGTTCGGCGTGACCGATTTATCCATGCAGTGCAGAGTGGCACCTTGTATTCTGCGCTTGTGACAACACCGTTGTTGTCGGGATGCTCTGGCATAGTGAGGCCGATGCATTGGGGTGATGTTCTTTGGCAGCTTTCCCGCGCACAAGCTCCAATCATATCCTGGTCGGACGTCGTCGCAGCCGTGTGTTGGTGCCGAGCCTGGAGCCTGGGTCTGCCCACCTCTTCTGGATCCTCAGGGCCACCGCAAGAAATGCAGTCTCCGCCTTCTCCACGCTCTGACTCGGCGGTCTCCGTCTCAGCAGCCAAAGCCCGACTGGATACATTGCTGCAAAGCCGTGCTGTCAAGTCAGCTGGTACCGCAGAAAAGCCCTCGCCGTTGCCATCCACCAGTGCCTTACGTGACTTACGTGCGTTTGCACCTGCGGAAGCCTCCGAGCATTTGCAGGGTGACTCTTCATTAGAGACGGTTAGCAGGAGGCTTGCACAAGCCTCAGGTAGTGTATTGCCCTCTCGCACGCATCGGTCGAGGCATCCGTGGTTGGATGGCTCAGACGATGATGTTCCATCTCGGGCACCTGTGACAAGAGCACCGGGATCTGTGAGCAGGCCTTCTGGGCCAGCACCAGAAGTTCCGCAACTCTCTCCGCGTCGAGTGGTACGTGAGGCGCAACCGCCGGTGGCTGCTTTGCGGTTGCAGGTGAACGCTGACGCGCGGCTTCCAGACCCAGCCGAACTCGAAAAGTTGGAGGTGGAGCTTGCAAGAATATTGAACATGCCGGTGCAAGCTGTCAAGCTCCAAGGTGTGAGACCATTGTAAAGTTTCATGTCGCACTTGAGGTGCACGTACCATTACTCCTGATGCTTCCTGCAGTCAAGTTGTAGTTGGCAATCTGATGCGGCGCCGAAGCTCGTGCTCGCTGAAAACCTGCTGCACTTCCAATGCGCATTAGGATAAGTTAGTCGATCCAGTTGAGCTGAGCCGTGCCGTGCATCATGCATCTGCGGTGCGCGTCCAAATTCAAAGTCGTTTAATGACAGCGGGTCGGTTCGTTCGGCAAGCTTGCATGGAACCGGCACCTTGGCTCGATGAGACAGAACAGACTCATGAAGGGAAGGGAGTGGCTGCGGCAAGCGCCCGCCAAAGAACGCCGTGTCAAGTTCTCGGCTGATCGCTTGACCACATATGCTCAGTTGTCCCTCCAAAGTCGAGACGAGCTCAGGCCTTGATCACAGAGATCCTCTAGCAGACTCTTTGGGGGCAGGATAGGCAGCCAAGCCGCAAGCAATTTGATTGGAACTTGTCTTGGTTTCTTATGACACCCACAATTCCCACAATGCTGCAGAGGTTGCAAGATTGGGTTTGCCGACGCATGGCTCACCCTGACCGGCGTTTAGGTGGCAGCCGGTGGCAAAACTTGTGTTTGGTACGATGTTATATGAAATTGAAATGTTATATGGGTATATGAGAATAAACTATTATGCATTGCAAGATGTGACATCATACGAGAATGTATTGTAGGATAGTTTATGGGACGAGAATATGAAGCTATATCGTATTCTACCGCATGTATTCTATTTAGAAGACTAAGAACATTGCATGTTCCATCATCTTATCTCGAATTCTACTATGTTCTACTCCCCATTGCCTCAGATAGCCGTGTCGTGCAGGGACTGCGGGCTTAGAAAAAATGATGAAAGTCGCGGCATGGCGTGGGAAGAGGCTGAATGAAAATGACATCCGAATGCAGTGGGCAAGTTCTGACAGGAAGACTACCCAGACTTCTCCTCTTCTGGCTTGCTTTTGACGACGTCTTGCGTGCAGACCTAAGCTTCTCACAGGCATCTCAGGGTTCTCTCACGGGGCAATGCCTTGAAAGGATCCAGTGGGCTCTCCGACGAAGATGTTGTGGAGGATGTGGCACCGCTTTGGCCTTAGTGGCACTCATGGTGCACGTCAGGGCTCCTCGCTTATCTTCGCTGAAGTCCCGCTGTGGCCGCCCAGGCATTTGTTCGGGTCTAGCCTCAGGTGCTTCACTTACTCTGAGCAGCTCGCAATCAGTCAAGACTCATGACTGTCTGCACCACTTGCTGACGGAGAGGTCGGACCCAGCTGTAAACCGGCTGGCAGCTGAAAAGTATTGGAAGGCGCCCGCATGGGCAGCGAGTTCGCTAAATTGGCGTAGCTTCCGACCACAGGCCAAAGACCTCCAAGAAGCGGAGCATCGGGCCAGACTCAAAGCAGAGGCAGAGGCGGGCACGGACAACTTCGATGCCCATACACGTATACCTAAATGTGCATGAGCTTCTGTGCATATATATATATATATGTATATATACACATTGCATTGTTTCAGTTGTTGATGTGTTTATTTAGTCATTTTGTACTAGGCGGCTGGGCGGCAGCTGCAGCAACAAGCGCATCAGCCTTACCTGCTGCAATCTAAAATGCGCCAAATATTGTAATGAGCTTCGACCATGTGAGTTGTTGCGCACTGCGGCAGGCCTCCGTATCCTTTCTTTACGACGCCACCATACGTCAACATAGTGGCTACGTCCTCGGCTCTAAGACGCATCTCGTTGATGCTTTGATCAACATGCATCTACAGCAGACGGCTGCTTGCAAAGGTTTTTGATTCACATGATTCCAATTGCGACGTGAACTTTGAGTCCGGAGCCTTCTGTAATTCACCTGTCAGCAATGCACTTCTTCCAGCTGGGCGGCCCTACGTAGCATTTCTCAAGACTGCGGCCTACACGACAATGCCAAGAAATTTTGACATTTTCTAAAGCTGAGGTCTCCTCCTGTTACAGATCCAAACCAGGTGGGATATCCTGCAGACGGCCTTCATCTCAGGAAGCAACGAGAACTCAACCTGCCCTTGAACTTCATTTTCTTGCACACCTCCGCTCAGGCACTGCATCCTTGCGTCAAGGGAACATGGCATGTACGACACCAAGTTGCTCAGCTTTAGGCCTTGTAGTTGCGTGCGACATCAACATCGGGTAAGGCGTGTTGTAGGGACGTCGACAACCCAACAGGAACAGCTATGTAGTCGTTTAGGCAATTCAGCCTCCATGGTATTCATGTCTGGCACGGCATGGTGAGACAAGGTGGTGTAGCGCCAGCGCGTTTCGTGTTCACTACATCGAACGAACCAGCCTACGAAGATATGCCCCGTCCTGAGTCGAAGCCATTTCTTAGGAGGTGAGGGTATTTGGAGATATTAGGAGCAACTGCTGGGAGCGGCTGAGGGGCCTTGCCAACTGGTGCGTGGGGCTATTCGGGTGCAGCAACACCAGACTGAGGACCGTGGATGCCAAGATGCAGGCCAAGTGCTTCTTTTGTCGACCTTGGACACCTTTGCTTTCAGTTTGACATATATGTCTCTTCGGCATGCAGCCAGCAATCGGTTGTGCAGATACGCATCACGTGCGCCCAAGCCTTCTTCGTAGAGCCAAGATCTCAGATATCAAAGTCCGAAATGCAAGCTCGGAGCGAACTGCACAGCCTTCCCAGCAAAACCCGCAGCTGTTTGGCTTGGTGACACGAGGTCGCTCACATGCGAGAACGTCCTCGACGCGACCGGCGACTTCCCTCGAATAGAAGGGTGCCGCTTCATGGATCATGAGGCCTGAAATCCATACGACTGAGCATGCACCCCTGGTTGCTGCTCCGGCTATCTACTATCGGCCACATGGCGCACAGGCCCGATTGATTCTTCAGACGCGCCTCAAGATACGTGTGGACCTTTCCCAATCTGGCCAAGCTTGCAAGCCTGGCAACAGCAGAGTCGCTACCAAGAGTTGCAGTGCTGATGGTGGTTGACAGCCTCGCTAAGAAACGACGTATTCTTTGACGCTCAAGCTGCTGCTGCTGCTGGCTTAGATGGGTGCTTCGTTAGTTTGATTGCTAGTGTTCATTGTCAGACTGAATTGGTTCGGGCGCTAGACTGTTGCAAGGCCCCCCGGCAGAATGACGTCCGCTCAGAACAACTACGTCTTTACCACGGAGTTGGAATCCCAATACCCTGTCAATGCGTAAAGAGTTAATGCTTTCTCATCGTTTTATCTTGTTTCCCGCCACTTCATTAGTCCAGGTTTGACCCGATGACCGTGATCGAGGGCACCGAAACTGCCATAGATCTGGGCTACACGGTCTTGGCCCCAACTCATCAAGAAACTTTGCTGCGGCAGCCGCCAGGAGGGAGATGACGCGTAGACTAGGAACTGCGCTGCAAGGTGCCGCATGCAAAGGACGCTACCGAGTACCCAGGGTCTTATCAGACCCGAGGCTGGAGTTGATTAACGCAACGCAAGCAAGAGTTCTAAAGCGCGGGCGGTGCTTGCATGTGGATTGTGAGCAGGCTACATCACAGGCTTCTTCTATGGGGCATGGACTACCACACCAGACGTCAAAGCCCCAAAAATGATTTGCCCAGCGAAACAAGCTGATTTCATTTTCAATTTTCAAGTGATCAAGGGGCGGATGCTCATCACCTTTGGCATCCGGACTTTCGGCTTCATGAACACGGAGTACAACATTGACGTCGTGGCCTACCCGACCAATGCCCGCATCCTCAGAGAGAGCCACATACTAAAAAGAGACAAAAGGAGAGCTTCTCGGAGCCAGGAGCCATATCCGGTTTTTTTCTCTGCCACATGTTGTTAAGTTGTGCTCTGACAAGGTCTGGAAGCTTGGCACCCCGGGAACAGACTGCGAGGACTACGGGCCCTAAGCCTTAGCAAAGCGTGATTGCATGACCACATGCTTCGCGGATGGTTTCCCAGTTGTGCCTCAAGCTGAGGCAGCCACATGTCGGCACAACTTGCCGACTCAGGCCCGTAGGTTTCTTAAGGTTCTTACGCGTTGCAAGTCTGCCTCCGCTGGCCGAAAAAGCGCTAGCGATACTGAGAAACTGCAAAGGTTGCACCAGGTGTCTCCGAACAGCGGTTCGTCAAAAAACTACCACAAACGCGAGTTCTAAAATACAGCTGAAATGCGCCCTAAAGTGGCAAAGGCGACAAGCCTGTGCTGTTGACAAGAAGCTGTCAATTCTCAAACCTCTTACTTTATCGTGTGTTCGTGTGTTCGCGTGTGTTCGCGTGTGTGCGCGTGTGTGTGTGTGTGTGTGTGTGTGTGTGTGTGTGTGTGTGCGTGTGTGTGCGTGTGTGTGCGTCTGTGTGCGTCTGTGTGCGTCTGTGTGGGTCTCTGTGGGTCTGTGTGTCTGTGTGTGTCTGTGTGTGTCTGTGTGTGTCTGTGTGTGTCTGTGTGTGTCTGTGTGTGTCTGTGTGTGTCTGTGTGTTTGTGTGTGTCTGTGTGTTTGTGTGTGTGTTTGTGTGTGTGTGTGTGTTTGTGTGTGTGTGTGTGTGTGTGTGTGTGTGTGTGTGTGTGTGTGTGTGTGTGTTTGTGTGTGTGTGTGTGTGTGTGTGTGTGTGTGTGTGTGTGTGTGTGTGTGTGTGTGTGTGTGTGTGTGTGTGTGTTGTGTGTGTGTGTTTGTGTGTGTGGTGTGTGTGTGTGTGTGTGTTGTGTGTGTGTGTGTGTGTGTGTGTGTGTGTGTGTGTGTGTGTGTGTGTGTGTGGTGTGTGTGTGTGTGGTGTGTGTGTGTGTGTGTGTGTGTGTGTGTGTGTGTGTGTGTGTGTGTGTGTGTGTGTGTGTGTGTGTGTGTGTGTGTGTGTGTGTGTGTGTGTGTGTGTGTGTGTGTGTGTGTGTGTGTGTGTGTGTGTGTGTGTGTGTGTGTGTGTGTGTGTGTGTGTGTGTGTGTGTGTGTGTGTGGTTGCCTTCTTTTCTCTCCTCTCTCTCTAGGTTCGGCATCCTGAACCGAAGACCATCGAATGTCACCCCTGGGCTTCCTCCCCGTCTGGTCATTCTCCACTCCATCTAGAGGGTGCAGCCAGAGTTTCTGGCCTTCTGGAAGACAGTTTCACAGAGTTATCTTGTACTTCTTCTTTGCAAGACCATCTTTAAGTCGGAGGTCTTTCCAAGGAGCTCTAGCATCAGAGCTGGAGCCTTGGAGCTCTGTCTTCCATGAGTGCATGTAGCGCGAATCGGATGATGCTTGCCCCTGCCGTCAGGGCCAATGGCTTCCGCTTAGATATCGGTCGACAACTTTGAACAATTGTTTCTGTGTTTGCACTTTGCATCTGCTATCTTTCCCTGCGTCATCTGGCTGAGGTACGACGCCCATGGTCAATTTGGGCAGCCAGGGTGCTGCTGAAGTTACCTTGCAGCTCTCCCAGCGCAAATGGTTTTGGCGTTCCATGTGAGATTTTTCCAGCATCCGCAACTGGCGAGGGGAATTCCGAAGCCCCCGACCGCAGTCAACATGCGCAAGCCCAAGATTCGGGCATTCGGCCCGTCGGGCCCAGATCTAGCCTCGAAGCCATCCGCACTGCATCTTTTGCCCAGGTACTGGACGGCCACATCATTTCGGATCGATCAGGACATTTGCTGGTTGTCGCATACAAGCCACGCGCAGGTTTCGAGCTGTTTGCACATAGCAACATGTAGTACCCGGCACTGTCGGACACGTCTCTTCTGGCTGGAGGACCAGTTGCCACAGGAGCCATTTACGGTGTTCAGCGACAGACCTGTGAGCGTCGGCGCCTTACACACTGTCAAAGTGCGCACTTGTAGCCTGACGCCTTGGTGAGGTCATGGGCACACCTACTGGACGGATAGCAGCGTTGATCGCTTAATGAGTATAGCGGTGAACAGTCGCGAAAGACAGCGGGTCAGTGTTCAGTATTCAGCACCACGAGCTCCTGATGCAGACGCCGCGGCATTTCAGAACAGGGGGTCGCCACAGGTTGTGGAACATGCGAACTTACCATAATCAGGTTCGAGCGCGGCGATGTGAACGTGGAGCAATGGGCCCGCGGCTGAGGTTTTTCGAAGAGACAGAAGTTCATCGATAATGCGCGTTCAATGAGTTGATGCCTCACGATGTTGACACAGTAGCCTGTTATTTTGAGAACCGATCAAAACATTGCAACTTGGCACAGATTGCTACAAGTGTGACTCATGTGCCTGGTCCCAAGCGCGTTCGGCTCGACGCGGGCGAACAGAGCCGCAAGGATGGTGAAGAGATTGAAGGGGCTTTGAGCTAAGCAGTCCAACATGTTCTGGGCCTGCAGTAAGCAGCGCTGCTCTTCCAGCGTTTGCGACTCAAATTGTCGAGTCTCGGAGCTCACCTTCTTCGGTGATGAGGAAGAGCAGAAAACGAAGCTGTCTTCCAAAGAGATTGCGCCGGAGGCTCGGCCAGAGTTTGCCTTCGAGAATGGCGACCTATACCTCGGCCAGTGGGTTGGCACAGAGCGGCATGGCCATGGTGTCCACCGCTGGCCAAATGGTGCTAAGTACGAAGGTCAATTCGAAAGAAATCGTGCAAGTGGACAGGGAACGTTCCAATTTCCAAACGGTGGTGTCTATGAAGGCCAGTGGAAAGCAGATCGAGCACATGGCCACGGCAGCTATAGACACTTTGACCAGGCCTCATACGATGGCCAATGGCGGAATGACAAACAACATGGCGAAGGAGTTGAGCTTTGGCCAGACGGTGCTCGATTTGAAGGTCAACACCGTGAAGGTCAGAAATGTGGTAAAGGCAGATTGTTGTGGCCAGACGGCTCCAGCTACTCCGGAAGCTTTGAGTGCAATACGCTCCACGGTGAAGGCGTTTATCGGTGGGCAGACGGCAAAGAGTACAGCGGCCAGTGGGCCAAAGACCGCATGAGCGGTGCCGGATGTTTCACCTGGCCAGATGGGCGCGTCTACACTGGTCAATACCTCGACAATCAGAAACATGGCCACGGCATGATGCGGTGGCCTGATGGCGGACTTTATGAGGGTCAGTGGGCCAAGGGTCTTCAGCATGGAAGAGGCACACACACCTCCTCATCTGGTTCTTGTTCGTCAGGCACTTGGGAAGCTGGCCGTTTCGTAGGCTGAACCCAAGCGGAGCTACTCCTTGGGAAGCATGGATGTCTTAAGTCTGTCACTCAAAAGAGTCAATGTGCAAGATCAAGGTCGGAGCGCGAAGCCCTCCGAACCCTTTTTGCATTGCATCTCAATCTCACATGTCAAAAGTTGAACAAGGGGTGCGAACTGCCCGCAAGGCTTGCTGAACACGGAACGAGACCTTGGAGAGCGCGTTGGTGTTGCATGTGCGCCGCGTCTCGACAATCTAGAGGTGGTCTTGGAGTTCAAGCCCGGAAACACGGTCATGTCGGGTCCTTGCTCAAACAGCTGGTGGGCCAGAGAAGCCTGGAGCAGTTCCTTGTGGCTTCCATTATGCGTCAGGCCTGGCACCGATATGTCTGGCATGATTGTCATCATGCCACCATCCACTTTCACCATTGTTGCAAGCGCTGCCCCGCAGCTGCCAGGAGCATAGTGTTACTCGCATGCTGAGCAGGTCCCCCAACTTGCCTGCACAGCTTTTTTCAGTCCAGGCCTTCGACGGACTACAATGAGCTTCCCTGCACGTGCAGCTCCTGGCAGTCTTAGCCGCCCGCTACCTGACTTTACGCTGCGTGCTGCAAGCTGTATGCGGCAAGGTCCTGGCCAGAAGCAGATCGGTTGGCTGGGCCGGGTCACAGAATGTGGTAGCCATGTGGTAGGAATGTGGTAGCAATGCAGACGCGGGTGCTGAAGCTGCCGAGGCGCTGGGTGTGTCCATTGGCAGATACTGCCCCCTTCAAGGAGACCACTTATGGAGTGCGGCTGAAGGCGTTTTCATGCGATGTGCGATCGTCTGATCATCTCCATTAAGCATGAAGTGGTGCCAGGTTCAGAATCCTGCGGATCCGGGCGCAGCCAGGTCATGGCGTGCCCTTGCTTCAGCTTCCCCGATCCCAGATATGGCACTCGCTTGTGCTTTGCGGATGCCCAATTCCAATCCTGCCAAGATCGAGCTGTGGGAGCAAGATGCTGCTACGCCAGCCCAAGCCCCAAGCAGACTCAAGCAGCTCAGTGTTCAATCAATTCGGCAGCAATTCGGCAGTTTAGTTCAACTCAAGCTTCGTCGCAGTTCGTGGCCTCTTTCCAGTTCAACATTCAGGTTGCCGCCACTCGAGGGATCAGGGGCATGGAGGTGCTGGAACCTCATGCAAGCTTTGCCAGCTTCGGGTATTCTTGCATGACACACAAGGCCGAGCAGAGATCTGAGGTCTGGTCCTATGCAAGCGGCCTTGTCCCAGGAAAACCAGCTTCTGGGCAGTCTGGCCCCCGGCTTTCATGCCTGAAAGCAGCAGCGACACAGTGGTGCTAACTTTATCCTCTGACTAATTGTTTTTGTCATTTCAAGTTTTTTCATAATTTTAACGCTACGCGACCCGCCTCGGCCCGGCCCAGCGCATCCGTGTGAGCATGGTGATTCCGCAGCGCCCAAGTCGCTGGACCCCAAGCAATAAGGGTTGGGTTTAGGGTTTAGGGTTCCGGGTTTATGGTTTATGGTTTGGGGTTTAGGGTTGATTAGGTTCACGCTTTGGGGTTTAGGGTTTTTTTGGGTTTAGGGTTCAAGACGGTTCGGCTTGGATTGATCGTAGGGTTGAGCCAGGCCCCTCAGGGGGGGGTAGGGGGGGTGGGGGGGGAAGGGGGGCAGGGGGGAAGGGGGGAAGGCGGGGGGGGAGGGGGGGGGGGCAGGGGAGGGGGGGTTTGTTGAAGGTTCGAGGGTTGAGTGCTTCGGGCTTAAGGTTTAAGGTTCAGGGTTTAGGTTCAAGCTCAGACTCTTCGGCTCGTGCTACGGCTCGTGAGCGCTCACCAATATTCTGTGGGAAAAGGAGGAAGGGTGGTAGGGGTGGGGGGGGGGGTGGGGGGGGGGTGGGGGGGGGGTTGGGGGGGGGGGTGGGGGGGGGGGGGGGTTCTGACAACCTATACACCTCCGGCCCGAGGCCTCGGCGGATTAATGCACCCCTGCTTGGAATGACCTTCGTCGGCTTAGGTTTATGAAGGCCTTGTCAAGGCCTTCAAAAATTCCGGCTCAAAGAGCCCGAAACTTTGTCAAAAACGTAGTATGCCCCAGCAGAAGAAGAAAGAGGAGAGATTTCGGGCACACTCTCTTTGCACCACGAGAGAAGAATCGGCTCAATGGGGGGGGGGCGGAGGAGCCCGTCCCCTCCTTGGCTTGCAAGTGCGCCATACAGTCCTCGAGACAGCTCAGCTGCGAAGGACGGCCAGATAAAGGAGCTATGGGGTGGGAGTGGGTTTGCAATGATTTTCTGATCCCTGTGAGTAGCACCTCGTCCGAAGCAACAAGGTGTCACAAACAAACGGAGAGCAGAGGCGTATGCAGTGCGGGTGGCAGCAAAATCGGAGAGTCGGTGCTAGGAACGGATTGCTCACGCGTTTGCAAGGGGTCGGGACTGCGACAGGTATTTGTTTTTAAGCCATGGACGTCGCTGAACAGCCACGTACAGTCAAACAGCAACGGCATAGGGGCAGGTCGCATCGGCTGGGCTGGGTAAGCACACCACCAGCCAAACAAATCCAGCTTGCAAGTTCGAAAAACACTCCCAGAATCCCAGAAGAATTGTGCACCCTCTCATGCCTTCTCTAAGCCTGCACTTGTTGGAGCATAAAGGTGGGAGAACCCGTGAGTGAGAGAAGATACACACTTCCATGTGCTAAGACATCAACACCGTGCGGTTCGACATCATTCCATCACAGCCAATTGGCAACGTGCCGAATACCCGGCTACGCGTGCTGGCCCGGGACCGTGGAAGCTACCGATGTTGGCAGCACCGTTGTACACATGCCTGCCATTGAAGCCCAGGCCCCGCCTGGTTTCGTGATCATCAAACGATGCCTGACGCTCATACGTCACAACTGCCACTACGTCACCTCGCGCAGACGTACATGAGATCTTCGACGAAGGTCTTGACTTCACGCCGATTGAGATCCCCAACTGCGAGTGTGTAGGTAGCTGGCAAGCGTAGTCAAGCCACAGCCGTGTGGCAGTGGCACCGTTGCCAGCACAATGCTGTCTTGGAGGCTCCGATTCCAATTCATTTGAGCTCGTGTTCTCGGAGCCTGGCCGGGAACGCATCGGATCATCTCATGCTCAAGATCGAATCAGATCGGTGTGAAACTGAGAAGCCTTCCAGGCGCAATACAGGGAGGCGTACAGTACTCCTTCTCAATCAAGGCTGGGAAGTGAAGCCTGTGACGGAAGGTTCACTCATGCAGCCGGACTGCCAGATGCAAAACCCAGAAGAATACATAGCCGATGATCTCAACGTTTGGTCCTTCGACACTCTGCGACCAGACGGGATTGCTCGAGTTTGGGTCTCAGCTGCGCGTTCTGAACCGAAGATTTGCTCGAAGATGTTTGGCACTTCTCAGGACACAGCTCGTTCTCAGGGCTTCTTTCTGTACCCCTATGCGCCGCTCGGATGAAATAATTTGACTTGTGAGGCTTATCAGCAGGAGTTCATGTTCACGGTCCACCTGCGCATAAGACTGCATCTCCTCCATTTCGGACCTTAGGTTTTCTTCGTTTGTCGTTGTGCCGCTCATGCGCAAGGCCAGTGGCATGCAGGTTTCAACGTCGCAAGATAGCGAAGACGGAAAACGGTTGGCATGAGCTTGATGACGGGACATGGGTGAAATGCGTAAACTTCTGAACCGTGGCAGCCTGGCCCACAAACAGTGGTGATCCGCTTCATTTCGCCGCTGTCAGGATCTGAGGGAAGGGGCCCGATGTTCCGATTGCAGGATGTCACAGAAGCATCAAATGGCACTGCTCAGGCTCATTCCTTTTGACGACTACATCCGCATTCGTGCTCCACAAGGGGTCGCGTGGTACACCGCCGACCTGCAGTTCAGCACAGAAGCGGCCGGAACCCTCAGGGACATCCTGGGACATCCTGGGACCCCGGACCGACCTCGGACCGGTTTTACCAATTCTTCAATTCTTTTTGCTTCACGGAAGTGAGAAGTGAAGTTCTACGAGGTTCAACATGTTTCAACGTTTGACTCATCGATCGGGCATCAGGCTCTGACGCAAGCAAACCTGCTTGGAGCGCAAGACCCCACTGTTGAGTTTGAAACGCCCAACGTCTTCGACTCGGCGTGAGTGTCGGTGTTTGTCCGCCTTCCGCGATAGCATCCGTTAATGTGTTCATAAGGAGCTGGCGGTTCAGCTCACCACCACTGCCGAAGCCAACTTTGAGTCTTTGGCCCAAGCGGTGTTACAAACTCCGTTTTCAGCATGAAGACTGCGCAAAGAATGTGCGTGCCAACTGGAGACCGGCTCTTCGGACTTCTGACTAGGTATGGTATGGCGGCTCGTGCGGAAATTCCTCAATCCACGTGCTCCCCCCAGATCAGAACGTTTCAGCACATGTACCTATGCTTGTATCGTGTTGTGACAGAGGCCTATTCCGAATGCATGGTGGATTGAACAGTGTCCGCCTTAGGTGGCCTGGATTGCGCGTTGTTTATGAAACTGCATGAGCAGCAGCAAGCAGATGGAAGCACGTTGCTGCAGATGCTGCATTCGTGCTGCATTCGCGCTTCTTGAGAGGTATCGTCGGACGGGGCTTCCTGCTCCGAACAGCTGGAGATACATCGCTTCCAAGGGTGCTGCAGGATTCAAAACGCAAGTGTTGGTGAATACTAGGGCAGAGAGCTCAGCTTCTATTGTTAAGCCGGCTAGTCGTGCTTGTTTGTGCCGAATGGTTGCACCAGGTGGAACCATTCAACATAGTGGCAGAAGGCTGGCAAAACCCGACTCTCTTCGTGCCTTGGCTGATAAAGCAAGACTTCATCCATTGTGAAGTTTATCACCCTGCCACTCCTTCTCAAGCTTGTTCACTCGTATGGTTGCTGCGCGGGCACACTCCAGGATACCTGGAAACTTAGCGGTGCAAAGCTTCCAGACTGCAACCTAGCTAAGATGCTCGAAACTGGGAACGAGGGAAAGAGGGGGCAACCATGGTGGCGAATTTGGCTTCATTGGGTTTCGGGCAGAAGTCCTGCTGCCTGTGAGACTCTCAGTGTCGCAGCGGACTCCTGAACTGAGAGCTGCGGGACGTTTTTGGAAGCGATTCCACTGGGTTGCGTGAGCTGTGGCTTGGGGCGCGTGAGTTCGCGACATGTACTGCAGCTCCATGAAATTGCCACTCCTGCAGCGTTGAGGTCTGGAGTTCTCTCTTGTTCCTAGTTCGAGCTTCCGTTCTGAAGCATTCGATGTCAATTTTCACGCGAGCCGGTTATCTTAAGAAACCATGCGTGCTTTCATGTTTGTTTCTTTGTTTGCTTCTTTGTTTGTCGCGGTTTTGGGGGTCGGAGGTTGTCTCTGGTAGTCTGCCTACAGTAAGGGGTCTGGTGGCTGCTTTGGAAAAGGCAGAAGTAAGACTCAGGTCTTTGAGACGACAATGGAAGTCTTCAACTGAGCTGCCACACTGCCTGAGCTGTCCGACGCGACGCTTGATCGTGGCGATGCACTGCTTGTGCCCTCAGACCTCGTGTGTCTGAGGTCATGCCCTTCCTGCAAGCTACAGCATCAGGGTCCTCTCCTCGTAAGTAGGAAGGAAGGGATTCATACCCGAGCTTTGGCCAAATATCAGGACGCAGCTTGTCCCTGCCATGCTTCTGGTCGAAGCACCGCCCGGGCTGGTGCCTCATGGGTAGCGGAGGCTACCTCATAGCATGTGGCGGAAGCAGGAAGAGTTCAGCGCAACAAGCCCGAACGATTTCTCGCATTCCTCCTGATGACTTTCCCGCGGTCACTCGCGCATGCCGAGGTTTACCTACATCTGCCCGTTGTCGCCAACAGTGTACATGCCGGATTATTCCATTGCTCTGCCGAGCGACGTGACTTGCAACGTGGATCACAACACCTTGGCCAACCGAAACAAGCCCCGGCCTTGATCCAGAACAAGTTTGCACTCGTTGTTGCAGTTGCTGCAGCTCTTTTTCAATATGCAACACATTGCCCCGAGGCTTTTCCTAGAGCTGCCTTCAGGACTGCAGGCGCGATGCAAATCTGAACTGCAAGTGCTGCACAGTCCATGCCGGCGCTGAGGGCGACACAAGATATGCCTTCACCATTGACGTCGTGAATGCGAGGCCTCCGGCTCAGTCTTGCCAGCGTTTAGGAATTTGTTTGTCTGGGGTGGGGGGGTCAGGTTCATTGACCCTTTGCGGAACTTCTTCCGTATGGCCACGATGCTCGATGGTGAGGCTTGTGCTCATGACATCAGCCGCATGTGTATAGGCATCAAGCTGGTTGAAAATGGCTCAAAGTGGTTCACTACTGGCATCGGAAAGTACTGGTATCACTTGTTCACTCTCACACGAAGTTGCTGCGGCTCACAGCATCCCGGGAAGCCGGGTCAAGCCGATGCTTGCCAGGGTCACTTGGCAGGGTCTTATCACCTCATGTGTCCAGCACGCACGAACACAAAGTGGACGTGCCATAACTACAAAGTACAGTTTAAACCATGTCACAGTGGTAGTTTCGAGTTTTTTTTTTGCGGCCTTCCTCCCCAGGCCACCGTGATCACATTGGTGCTGTGTGCCGGGCATGGGCAAGCTAGAACGTGCTCGAGTCTGCAGCAATACGAAGCTGGGATGTTAATGGAAGTTCGCTTGCTTTACAATTGGTTTGGAGTGTTTTGGAAATACCGGCTCGATAGGTTGTCGATCTTCCCCGCGTCGGGGAATGCTTCAACTGTGCTGTTGTCGAAGACAGGTCGAGTGGGCTTTGCAGTGGACATCAAGCTGCCGGCCAACTGGAAGCACGAACTTTTCTTGGTTTTCTTCGTGCAGCTGGATTGAGTGCGACTGCCTTTGGGGTGCCTTGTCCGTGCCAGTGGCCACCGATGAGTTGGCACCATGCTTGGAGGAGTCAGTTGTTAAGCAACTGCTGGATCAAGAATCTCGGCATGCTTTGGCTTTGCCAGGCAAGGAAGGTGTCATAAGCCACCAGCATGGATAGTGCGCCAAGCACGAGATTTTGTTTGTGCGGAAACAAGGGCTCTTGAGAACAGTTCAGTGCTCGTGCTGCATGCGATTGTTGTACACCCAAACCAAGCTGCCTGGCATGATCTGGCATGTCAGCTACAGGGGTGCACACCTGGGCCAGCATAGCTCTCCAGTGTGAGTAGCTCTCAACACATTGTTTACGGCCGCCTGCTGCACAGCCCTGCCAATTCGCAACATCACAAACAGCATGCCATGTGCAAATGTGCAAAGCCATCACATCAGCATGTCATGGTGGGTACACACTGACACGGTTGCACTGCGCAGGAGGGAGCGTGATTCTTTGGTTTGTTGAGTTCTCAATGGGAGTAGTTTGCTTGTCAGAAGCATGAACCATGTCTAGCAAGCCGTGCACGTCTGTGCATATCAAACAGAACTTGTGAAGTGCCAAGCAAGCTTTTCATGGCTTGCGGCCATCTCCTGCGCCAATGTAAGGAGACGAAATGGTTTTTGACCTCGCTGTTTCGAACATGCAGGTCTCAAACAGACGAGCTATCCAAACCCTGTGGCAAATGCGACAAGTACAGAGACTTCCATCAATGCGGAGATCTTGTATGAGCTTGCTGCACCCGCAGACTCGCGATGTGAGATGTGCACATGTTTGGAAGCTGGCCCAGAATTTCCAGGGCCATGCCATTTCACCTGCACAAGAAGTGCAGAGAGTGTCACCGCAGTGAAAATTCTGCTGCATGTCTTTTACAGAGACAGTGTTTCCACAGTGACCCAGAGAGCCAAAAACTAAGAGCTGTGGCGGTCTTCGCCGGGTCTTCCCCGATGCAGGCCCCTACACTGGCCCTACACCGCAAATATGTGTCACGCGCCTTTGGTTTCTGCAGGTTGTGGAAGAAGGAAATGCCGCCGGGTTTCAGACGGGATCCAAGAGTGAGGTCTCGCTGCCACGCTGCGGCCGCACTAATGCAACTGGTTTGATATACCTCGACACCTGCCAAGGCTTGCGCAGAGGATGGACAACACGCGTTACTGGGAAGACATTGTTCGAGAGGACCATTAGTTCCCGCCGTGCGTGGCGAGCTTTCACTGTGCATGTGAGAGAGCTGAACACCGGTTCGAAGCAAGCCTAAGCAATCTACACTTTGGAAGCCAGGGCCGCTTCTTGATTGTAAAGGGTTAGGGCTTGATGCTTCTACCCGAACCCCATCCAGCGAAGCTTTAGTGCAGGGAGTGTGGAGTTTGCCCAACTCCATGCACCTTCAACTTCGAAGTCGTTGGTTGAAAGCATTACGTACATGTCAAGAACTGGCATCACATGTCTCGACAGGAGCAACAACACAACGAGCAAGAACAATGCAGAACGATCATGAAACTTCACTCGCGCAGAAGACAACCATAACGTGCCTCTGCCTCATGCTCTCCATCATCATTACCCGACAGCTGTTTGCAGATGAAAGACAAGTCATGAATATCTGGCGGAAGCTTTCAATCATTAAGCGAGAGGGCGCGTGCCTGTAAGGCAAAGGTGAAATGGGACAAATTGTTTGTTGCTTTGTCAGGACCGCGTTGTCGAAGCAACTACAAACGCCGCCGACTTGGGAGCTGTCAGCGCATTGCTACTTGAAAGTTGAGTTTTTTGCCTCGCCATCTTGGAGAAGCTTGGAGAGCCTGCAACGGAAATCAATGCCTCTGCCTTTGCCAGGTGGTGTCGTTTGTGATTGGCACAACGTTGGCAGTCACACAGCCAACCGTGCCTCGGAATGCTTTTCTGTGGGTTCATGGTCGAGAACACTGGGCGCTCCATTGGCATGACTTGGTACCTTGCCCTCACCTGGAGCAAGGTACTGGAAGTGAGAGCTCCTGCTTTGACCCTGGCTATTTGATGTTCGTGTTGGTCCCTGCTGCGCGCAAATGCAGCTTCATCACATCACCACGCTGAGATCGGGTTCAAGTTCGCCCACTCGTGCGATGGACATGCCTGCTTGCTCAGTTGACCCGCTCGCGCGATAGCGCGGCATCGCAGAACTTGCACATGCTCGTCTGATGCAACAGAAGGCAGTTAGTCAAAGCGCAGATGAAGATCATGAAGCAGGATTGCCGCCTTAGTCCAACACCATACCGCCAAAAAAATGATTTAAAGGACGCGCAGTGGACCTGCGAGGTTCTACGGGTTGTGGGCAACAACGCGCTGATACAGCCGATGCAAGTCAAGTTTTGATGAGCTCAGGTTGGCTGGGCCACATGGATCCCAATGATGCTGATCGGGCCACAAATGGATTTATGTCCGAGTCCCAGCTTCAAAGCCCAAAACCGAGATTTGCTGAAGCGTGTGACTTCCATGCATCGGGACGCCAGGTCAGGGAATGGGTGCTGCAGATGCTAGCATGGCACACATTGCACGAGTCACAATCGACTGGCCCTCAGTTCCTGCTACTTCCTGCTAGCACAGCTGATTAGAAGACCATGCAAGTCACTTTTGCAACCTACCTGGAAGAGTGCTGTTGCTGAGTCGGGAGCATGGCAACTCGGAGATTATGGACTCTACGCAACCGCACGGCCCTCACCAACAGAAGCCTTCACAACAGCGGCTTTGCTATGCATCCTTTGGACAAGGTGCAAAACCCCATGTTTACCCCAGCACGGAACTTCTGGGGCTTCTCGCGCGGTGCTTGAGTGCTCTCAGCTGGCTGACGCTTCCCGGCAATGCCATCGCTTGCCTGAGGATCTATGACAGCAACATGCTGCCGCTCATGTCGGAGTCCTGGGCATAGCCCTTAGAATTGACAAACGGCAGCTGCAGAGGCTCAGCCATACAGAATCTTCAACCATGTTGCGGCAAGGTCTTTGGTTTCCAGATCCAAGTGGTGCTCGGTTCTTAGCTTTGCCGGGATGCAAAAGAACGGCAGCAACTTGGCCATGCAGGGCCAACGTCGGTGTCTCAGGTTGGATCCAAGGCTGAAAGCCTACAACCAGGGAAACGGCAGGAGCCCTAGCATGGAATTTGATTGCGGCCTTACCGCTCTCAGTCGTGACTCCGGATGAGCCTCGCCAGAACTTGCCAGAACACTCTTGAGAATGGATGGCTTTAAGGTGTTGACGGTGAGGCAGCCATCAACTATGTGGACGTCAGCTTCATGTTGAGCACAAGGCAGCTGTGCCGTCAGTTGATGGTAGGCATATGCGCAATGGAACTACATGGAATTATCCTTTGCTGCCGGACGTCGCAAGATGACGGCACGCGGCATAAGAACCAGCCTCGATTATCGCTTTGAGACAGGCATGATCATGTAGTCATGAAGCAAGCCTGCAAGCAACTTGTTTTGGGTTGAAATGCAGCGAACAGGATTCCCCCAGAACCGACACGCGCGCATTCGGTTGCACGACCCTCAGCTTGAAGGCATCCGCTGGCCAGATCGTGAATTTCATTGGTGTCCAGCCTTTGAGGTTGTGACGGCTCCCCTTGGATTTTACTTTCCCAGCATCTGCTACTGCCTCAGCATCTAAGCAGCAGTGCCCCCTGCTGCCACCATGTTGAATCTGGTGCAAAGGCGAGTCCTTCTTACAAGAGCAACCAAGGACCAGTCGTTTCTGCGCATATGAAGTGAAAAGCACCACGAAACCACTCGGCCATTGAACCATCAAACCACTCAATTCTGCCCAACAACAACCGTTTCACCATCAAACCAAGTTGGGTAAACCATTAGCCATTAAACTATGTAGTAGATTTTGTCGGATGTTGAATAGGACCCCGATACCTGGGAGACATTGCCTGGCATCTTGAATCTTGGATCCGGGCCTTACTCAGAATTTTCATAGAACTGAAAGAAATGAGTAATGACCTGCACAGATTCCAGATGCCAGGAAAATTTCCTGGGCATCTTGAATCTGGGATCCGGGCCCTTATTCCAAATTTGACGCGAGCTCAAACTGAAGATGATGAAAAAGGATGCTGGTTCCTCCTCCCTTCCCAAGCCCACCCGCTGAAATCTTGATTATCTTTTCTGTTCTGGCCGGGGGGGGACCATTATTTATACATGTATAAACGTTTATTTACATGCCTCAGTCAAACATGCAGATACCCCCATACGACAACGCAGGCTTGGCCAAGACTGCGGAGCGATGTTGTTTCTTTCAGCAGAGACGTGGCTTTCACGATCTTTCGCCTGCATGCATGCAGCTGAGGCCAGAGCTTCACAATCGACACGTTCACGTCACGCCCTCTTTTGTCAAAAGCTGCCAATTTTGGGGTAGAGAGAGAGAGAGAGAGAAAGAGAATTTGTGATAAAGAAAGACATGGAATTAATGGAGAGAGCTGAAGTAGATTCTTTGTAAACTTTTGGTGAGGCCTGGCTTCAGTGGATTGCCGAAGGGCACCGGCTGTCAGGGCAGCAATGGGAATGTGCTGACGCCGGTGCCTCAGATACAGAATACGATTCTCAATAAGTTGTCATGTCAGACATTGACAGGGCCTCGGCTGCACAAAACACGTGATGTGCAGTGAAGCATTTACTCAGGGTGACCATTCCTTTCATGCGAGAGCTTCGGCGACAGCCTCAGCACGCAGGATGGGACTTATTACACTCAATGATTTGCCAGCTCAGAGTATAGAACCTGAGGAATGCAACCTACTACATGTTCAGAGCCCTGGTTGTGAATCCTCGGGAGACCTTTCTGAACGTAGACTCACCCGCTGCTCGGCTGAATGGCATGTGGTTGGCACGGCAAGAGCCGACGTATGCCGACGTGCTGTTGTGCTATCTGAGGACAAGTACTGGCGCATCGAGTCGCAAGCCGGAGGGATGGAGCTGGTTGACTTGAACAAGGTCATCCCTTCATTTGCCATATACCCACGCTTGCCGCAGACCCAGAAGTAGCCGAGCCACTTGATGCGGCAGCAGTTGAAGGAGCTACAGAGCTGTACTGAATCAAAGCTATTGGGTTATGCAAGCCTTTGCAAGCCTTTGCATCGCTGTTCAAGGCGATACTTCGCGGTGGCCGCCCTTTCACAGGCCTGAGCTATATAGATGCACAAAATCCAAAGCATTCGAGTCTTGTTTCTGAGGTTGGTCTGGCATCAACTACGTACAGAATACATTTTCGAACAGCACGGCCCTCTGCTCTCTGACAGTTGGAAGGCATCGCCTTTCAAAACAGGTACAAATTGCTGATGTACATATATATATATATACATATATATATATAGATATATATATATATAGATATATATTCATATACATTTATTTATCTTTTTTTTGGGGGGTCTTGCACATGAAGCAAGTTTAGGACCAGTCGTTGCCACCGCAGTCAAGAACTCAGATCAGCGGCCAGGTTGGTGCATCATGCCATAGCAACAATTTGCAAAGCAAGGCAGACTGTCCACATCTACCCACCGGCGGGAACTACCTTTGGCGGTCTTACGGAAGGCACTTGCATTGACATCGCCAGAGCCCTGGAAAACAGCGCTATATGGCTCTATGTTGGAACACTTGCATCACGACCGAAGCATGGCAAATAATGGACATTGTTTCACAGGATCCTGTATTGCTGAGCCTTCAGTTTCCGACGCCACTGATTTCCGGAGTTTGGAGCTGAGCGAACACCAATCGCATCGGCACAGACCTGGCAGTATCATTCCTTGGTTTCACGATTCTTTGCCTTTCATCATGGGACCAGCATGCTCAGGTCACTCGGTTGCCTGAGTGGGTATCCTGCAGGGTGGTGAGTTCAACGGAGTCGGAAACCTAGCATGCTTGTCAGATTTCGCAGACACTGAGCCTTGCGCATGCGTCTGGCAATTGCAATATGCCTCTGTTGAAGGTTGATGCTGCGGAATGAGGAACCCATTTTGGGCGGCCGTCCACTGATCTCGGGTCTGCTTCCAATCGTCAGTCTGTAGCGGAATTGAGGGTATCAAACATGACCTGCTGTGATTCGCCCAGGTCCAGTCTTTGAGTTCTTCATCATGAATGCTACGAATGCAGAGAGCACGCCGCAGCTCAATCTATTCCAGATTGAAGCCTCGCGCTTGCAAGCATCGGCCGTGAATTTATGCACAGCTTCTAGCTCTAGAATCGAAATTGCTAAAGGTAGGATTGCTGGTATCAGGCCATTACAAGCACCCCAATGGGCAAAGAGGCTCATCGTCGCGGCTGCCTTCATGCCATTGCCCCAAGCCAAAAACCCTTGCTTAGACTTGGTCGTGCCAGGTTTGGACGGCACCGGGCTGGGTGATTTACCCGGAACTTACACTGACATCGGTGGAGACTGCCAACCCTGGCTACGGATTGCCTGGGACACAGACACGGCATAAAACGAGACTCGTCGCTCTATCGCCTTTGCATTTCAGGTACACGAACTTTACCGTCACTTTGCAAACTGTCACAGAGGCTCGATGAGGCACGGGGCAGGAACAAGCAGCACTGCAACGGGCATCGCAGCGAGGTGCCATCAGGTGGTTCGATTCGCATCATTGCACCTGCTGACTACTACTTTGGACCTCTGATTGAAACAGCAGAGACACGCCTGAGCCTCGGTCCAGATTGTCTGATAAAGATGGCTGTGATTGCTATCGAGCTGAGGGTACGACCCTTTGGTGTCCGAGCCGTCCCCACAAGGTGCTGGCCAGGAGCGCGGTGTCACAACGAAGCGAGCGCCAAAACTAAGCCACTTTTGAACATCTCTGACTTTGTCGGAGTGGGCACAAGACCATAAATCTGGGCCCGAATGTGGACAGGAGCGCCCGCCACCCGAGAGAGTCAGCATCCAAGCGGAAAGTAAATCTCGTGCCCAGCGTTGTCAGCTTGATCTTCGCAGTCTTTGCGCTGACCATGAAGTTCTGCAAGCTCACTGAAAGACTGAAAGGTTACGATCTGTCACATCCTCCGCCCTATGGCATGGACGGCGCCATAGATCTTTGGGAGTGCCAAGACATGCCAAGACCCAGTGCCTCAGCACCATCTGCATCTCGCTATCAGGGCGTGCGCATTGGAGTTTACTCCATGCATCATCATGGACGAGCTCGACGAGTTGAGAACGCTCGGTGGTTCCACCCAGTTGTTGATACTGGACCAGTCCTTTCATGCCGTTCACGCGCAACGGCTGCTTCCAGGCATGATCCTATCACCCTCGCAAGAGGATGCTTGGCGGACAAATCGGACTCTTTGCCTGGACATGAGGCTTCCCACGGTAGGAGTTTGAATTCAACTCGGCCTTGCATCTGAATCTGTGTTGCAGGTCGAAATGTGACCCAGGAGGACAACTTTCAGACCTCATATCCTGTGAAAGCCAGGTAGGCACAATGTGTGATTGCAAGCCGAAGTGACTTCAAAGGTGGCAAGTGTTGAAGTGCCAAGCCTCCTCAGGGCAGCACCTTGGATCTCTATGTGGCGCCGCTGGTCTTCCTGCCGTCTCGACGAATTTTCCGCTTGTTGATTCAAGGCCATGTCTGAGCTTATCAGCACGATGCTCTCCGCTCCACTGTGTTACACGCGAATCACACGCGTGCGAAAGTCGTCTAGCATGTGTCGTTCGGTTTCGGCAGGGTAAGCCTGACAAATCCCGGCAGGCTACAATGCACGCAATCCTCCTGCCAGCGCTGAGGCGAACTCGCCGAGCCGCCTCGACTTACAGTCACCGCACGGGCGGAAGCATGTTTGTTCTGAACAGCCGCCAACGCAGACTTGCACGGCCAGGTGGCACATCATGACGCGCAACTCCGACAGCTCCGCTCTCAGATGCTCGCGCGATGCATGTCTTGGGAGCGCTGAGGCCAGGGTAGGGCGGAGCAATCGTAATGCATGTACAGTCTACAGTCAAAATCGTTTTGCAGACGTTGGAAGTATAAGAAGCAAAGCAGGCCGTAACCTTCGTAACCTCCGTAGCAGTTTCTGCGTGTGTTACACAGTTGTTACATGTTGTTTTCGGCCACCAACGTTCAAGATGCATGGTTCGGGGTTAGCCGTGATCTAACCGTGATCAGAAGAGTGCGAGCTTGCGTGAAATCATGTGAAACTGCAAGGTGAGAAGACAATCCTGGATGAAAAGCCACAAGTGCCTCACTCTCAGAGGAGATCTGCCACATGCCTGAAATGCATCGGGTTGACTGTCTGCGAGGCCTGGCGTCTCACTGATCGGCATTGTGTCTGTGGACTCAATGGTACCATCCAACACAAAGGCCAGCGGAGGCCTCGACCTGAAAGCACACGTGAGTACCTTGTAATCTAAAGGTCAGCAGCATTGAAAACTACGTGACCGTGACCTTGCGGCTGGCTACGCAGTGAGGGGGCCAAGCGAATTGAACGCGACCCCCTCTCTCTCTCTCTCTCTCTCTCTCTCTCTTTCTTTCCTTACTCTCTCAATTTCACGCTGTTTTCGCTCAACTTGACAGCTCGCACGCTGGGCCCAGAGAGTCGGAGCTGGGGCAAGCAAAGTGGCCAGGATACAGTCATGAGGCACTCGCGGCTAGCACTGTACATGCGCAACAGAAAAGATTCAACCAGGGTCTTCAGCTTCAGAAAACAACAAGCTCATGATATTTACTTTACCGTGTTGACTGTGCTGACTACGTGTTGCTTCATGGCGCTCGCTACGGAAGAGCAGGAGAAGCAGCTGCCTCAGCTCATTCCACCAGGAATGCAATGCCGCACACTCTTAGAAACGACGATGGCAAGGACGCGTAATGCACACATTGGCATGCGATGGCACCAAAACCGCACCCAGGCTGGCTGAGGTCCAGGAGTGGGCCTCTGGAATTTTCGCGGCCGGCAAGGCACGCAAAGTTGCTCGTCGCCAAGCCGAGGCTGCAGCTGTTCCTTGTCTGAACCCTGCATCTCAAGCGATAACTCTGGAAATGAGATATTTCGATCATCCCCACCCACAGCTACCTGATGTGAAAAAACAAGTAATGGCAGAAGGTGGGCACTACAGGGATCGGCTCTCTTGCAGGATTCTCTACCGGGGGGGAGGGGGGGGTCTCACTCCATTCGAGGAATCTCTGCGGGCTTCTCTGGGGGACGGGTTTTCGCTGTGCAGTCGGCCGCTGGGATTATGTAAATGAGTGGCATACCCGCCCATGTTTGTTTTTGCTCTGCATGCAGTCTCCACCGTGAATGAAATATGTAACCGAGAGGGCAGAAGTGAGACGATTACTACTGCTACCGCTGCTACTAGTAGTACGAATGCTGACGACGGTCTTGCTTCAAAGAGCATCTGCTTCAAGAGAAATAACTCCGGCAAGCATGTGGATCCTGCCGAAAATCCTTATACAAGCAAATGGGCGAGGGTGCAGACCCTCACAACATCCCCTGTTTTTTTGGAGCCTGCGTCCGAGCCAGCAGGAAAACCGAGAGGGTCATGGGTCACCGATGTCGAGGCCCCACATACGAGGGTTCTGGCACGCCCCCGCGATCAAGGTTTTTCTTGCCTTTTGATTGTGTATGATGGGTTGCTCTTATATTCTCGTGTTTTTTCTCCTCAGTCCCGAGCCCACAAGGGCTTCAACCACTCAGCCCAGACACGGGACATTTGGACAGCGCTTGAGGCCGTACATGGGGGCGGCTTCGGAGAATTTACTTGGCCAGCTCCTGACCAAGCAACGGCATCGTCTCTCGACTTGGATTGTGCTATGTCGATCTGCCATTCTAGTCAGGTCTGGAGACGTCAGGGGTCTACGGGGATCCTTTCCAGTCGTTGGTCTTCCGTGAAGACTTTATCTGAGGTTGGCACTGCAGCTTGATTCCGGCCCCGTCAAACGTCGAGCCACCCATGCACTTCGGATGAGCGCTGCCCAGCCCAACATCTGTTGAACTTGCGAGCAATTGAGAGCAGTAGCCCCATCCTTTTTCGCCTTTTCGACAGTTGCCCCGGTGGAACCCACGCGCTGTTTATTCTTTTTCTGCGCAGATTTGGTCACGCTGATGATGGACCCTGCGGCAACTACTGAGCTACTGTAGTGGCTGCCATGATGAAAGGAGACCTCGAGCGGTCCTGACTTGTGAGACTTGTGAGACAGTAAAGCTCATCTCGGTTTGGTTGCCTTATGCCAGGCCCAGTTGTCAAGACTCACGTTCCCTGACACAGCACTGTTGCCATAGATGGCTTTGAAAACGTCAGGTTTGTGATGCTCTTCGCTGGGCCGATCACGAGAATGCTGAGTCAGTTCGGTGCCATGCCCGGATCATTGCAACACGTTTCTTCGCTCGGAGCGTTGTGATGCGATTTTTGACACAAACAACACCGAACCGGGCTTGCTTGGCAGATTTTGGCAGGCTGGCGGACCGCCTCAGCAACTTGGCAGTGGCACTGCACTCGCCGACCGCCTCCATTCGCATCCTTTGTGCTGCAGCACGAGCAAGTGCTGGGCTCTGGGATGCTCTGAGGAAGGGCAAGCTCTCCAGACCAGCCGCACTTCGATAACTTCGATAGATAGATTCCATGCCATCAAGTCACAGAGTCTTTCGGCACAACACATGCTCACCAACTCACTTTCCCTAAACTCTAAGGCACTCTGCGCAGGCGAGGAAGATCTTCTGGCTTACGGCAGATCTGCTGAAAGATCCATATCGGAAGCAGACAGAAAGGCATGGAAAGAGTGGCTGATGTCTGAAGCAGGAAAAAAATCGAGCACATCCGGTGATGGTGGGCCCTTCTCAGAGACCGCCGAGCAGAGCCAGCAGAGCCAGCAAGAAGAACTGTCTGTCTTTCAAGAGCCTGCAAAGATGGCATCCTTGCGACCCTATCAGATGGAGGCCGTTGCTGCGGTCCAGAGGGCGGCCCCAGCAAACTGCTGCGTCGTTTTGCCATGTGGAGCAGGCAAGACGAGGGTTGGGGCAGCTATTGCTGCGCAGTTTCTCACCGACCATCCGGCAAGTTGTGTGGTCGTTCTGTGTCTTCGTCGTGAAGGGATCCGACAATGGAGTCGCGAGCTACTTCACAACTGGGACCTGGGCGCTCTGGAGGTTGGTCAAGCAAGTGGCCACGGTCACGCCCACGCACTGCGAAGCTCCAAGATTCTCTTGGTGACATACCATCGCATGTTGTCTGAAAAGCGACGATCGCAAACCTCAGCAAACATTGGCTGGGAAGACGATGGCATCGGCGAAGGGGGCGCTGTTGATGAAGATGCTGGGGGAGCTGTAGCTGCTCGTTTCCGCTCGTCATCCGAGGCTTTACTCATTGCAGACGAGTGCCACATGGTGCCCGCGCCAAAGATCTGTGAGTTGTTGGAGACATTGCTCGAAAACAAACGAGACCGAAGGCTTGTCGGCCTTACGGCAACTCTGCTCCGCGAGAGTGGCACGGGAGTCAAGGACGGGCCGGACGGGGATGTTCCCTGGCCACTTCTGGGCGCATGTGTGTTTCGCGAGACATTTGCAAACCTGGCGCCTGAGTTCCTTGCTCCCGTTCGATGCGTCGAGGTATCTGTGCCAGTGGTTGGGGAATGGTCCAAAATCTTCACGGAGCAGCCGCTTGCAGCGGCCGTTTGCTTGTCTTACCAGAAGTGGGTGGTATTGGAGCACCTGCTGGCCAAGCATGCGGGCGAACCCATCTTGATCACCGTGGAGCGCTGCGAGCAGGCGAGGCTGCTGGGTGCCATGTTTGGCATCATACCACTTGACGGGTCTGTTCCAGCCACGCAGATGAAAGACTACCTTGAGCGCTTCCGGCAAAGGAAGATTCTAGCGCTGGTTGCTACGCACGTCCTGGATGATAGTGCCGACTTCCCCGAGTTGTCCGAGCTTTGGCTATTTTGTGACAGCTGTCAGCCTTGGGTTGTAAGATTGTACCGAATAGCATAGTCAAGTGTGGTTTGATGTTTTTTTGTTCTGTGGTCCTAAGCGCGACTAGTCTGGTTCAGTCTTGCCCTTCGTGGGTCCGAAGCACACCCTCCAAAACAGCAACAGCGCATGTGAACCAGGGAAGGTTCTCGTCAAGTTAAGAGTGTGCGGTCGCCAATTCGACCTGCAGGTGATGATACAAATGGGCGGCCACTTTGCAAGCCGCAGGCAAGAGCAGCAGAGATTGGGGAGACTGTTGAGATGGGGTCCCGTAAAGCGACGGCGTTGGGAATCAACGGGAGCAGCTTGTCTTCAAGATGTAGATGCAAGAGCAAGTTCATGCCCCCCCCCCGCCCCCCCCTCCCCTGCCAAGAACGATTTGGCCAATTTTGTTTAGAGTCTGAAAACCAAGCAAACAAAGACAGAAAATCTAGAGTATTGATGAGCCCCTGAAGCTTGTTCTACGAACCTTTTCATTTTCACAATATGTACACACACGTCTGATGTTGAATGTCGGAGGCCGCTCATCTGGTTGACGTTTCATTTCCGCATCAGCCAAAGGCAGGAAGAGGTCCCTGATCTTCATAAACAACGACAGAACCCTAAACCTGGCAAGAAAACGAAAGCCTCCCGTCAGTCTTGCGAAGATGCATGGGATTCCTTGAGCCCGTCGTGTTTTCACGAGAAATGAAAAAGGCTTCATCAGATCTCAATTCTTGGCAAGCACTCTGGTTGGCTTTTTATATTTAAATCAGAAGGTGCTTATTCAGGCATCCCGTTACATGCACGAGGAGGAATACGAGCTTGACAGGAGATGAAAGACCTCCTTCACATCTTTAACAAACATGAACCTAGCTTTTCACAAAAGGCTGCAAGAATTCAGAGCTCCGATCTACTAATGGGAAAGGAAGTGTCATGACAAAGCCTCGACCGTCATCGATAGGCTTAGGGACCACCAGAGCTTGCGATTCGTCATTGAGTGCGCCTAGAAGCTTAGGAGTCAAAGACAACATGCAGTAGAAACTTAGGGACCAGGGCTTGCGCTTTGTCATTTTGGAAGACAACATGCACCAAAACTTAGTGGCCTTGGCATGCAAATTGTAGGTTTGGAAAGCAACATGCGCGAAATGTCTTGAATCAGGGCTTTGCGATTTGTCACTATTCAAGGTAACGCAGACCAAAACATAAGGGACCAGGGCTTGCGTTTTGTCGTGTTGGCATGCAGCTTGCACCCAAAAATTTCGGGACTAGGCCTTGCGATTTGTCAATTCTGAGCCTCCGCCGAAACTTAGGGACCATCGCTTGCGGTGTGTTATTTGGGAAGATGGCTTGCGCCAAGAAGCCCTTAGGACCCCGCCCGCATGACATCTAAAAGGGGACCTGGGCCATTTAAATGTTTGGAAATGCTTAAGAATTTCAGAAAGCATTTTGAACTTTCAGCTTTTCAATTTCAAACACTTAAGAAAACGAGTTCGGGCCCATTTAAGAAAATACAAGGGCCCGGTTGCATTTTGTTTCTTAATCTTCTTACTTGAACAAAGACTCAAATGGATTCAATCAATCCTCTGATCAGCCAAACCCATCGTCAAATAGAACTTAAAGGTCTGACGCACTGACTGTTTCAGGGTCTGGGGCTGGGATGTTAGGGTTTAGGGTTTCCCTCTCCCCTGTGGGTGGTGAGTGGGGCTCGGGTTAGGGTGAAGAGTTTTTGGGTTTGGGGATTTGGGTGTTAAGCTTTTGGGATTGGGGTGGGTACGGGGTCGAAGGGTGAGGGGTGAGTAGGAAAGCGGTCCGCGGACGCGTAGAACTCCAGCTGGTTACGGCGTTGTGGAAGCATCTTAAGCACGGTACAAACGACGCTCAAGCAGTCTTTCCCGAAAACCTGTTTCCGACACGAGGCACGGCCTACGTTCTACGACGGGAGCTCAGTGTGCATGCGGCGAGGGGTTTCATCAGGTTGCAACAGCTTGCAATGCAGCAAAGTCGAATGCATGGAAGCTGTCGAGCCAACTCGAGGTGCTCGTGCATGAGGGTACAGTGGAGGAGAAAATGAGCCGACATCGTACGGAGTCTGTCCTGGGAGTTCACTATGAACGTGTGGAAGCCCATACCCTGACGTCGAGCCCAGACTCAAGCTTGGGTGGTGGAAGCGACTTCTTACATCCCGGGCTCACCGCCGGCGAGGGAAACCCGTTTGAGATGACTCACCTGGAAGCCATGGCAAGGAATTACAAGAGTTGTTTGGACCTGTCGAGGAATGTAGCTGCCAGCATTCCTGGCCAAACAGGTAAGCGTGGCAGTCGAGAGACTCAGCTGTCGGAAGTCCGGCGATGGCTGCGGGGCGAGCCAACTGCAGATGACTTGGATCTGCAGGCTCCGCCAGCGCTTCGCGATAGAGGATCCCCATCCCCAAGTGTTGACTAGGTCGGTGATTGTTGCTGTTCCTGCCAGTAGGGGTTTTACAGTTTTACCTGGCAGCTGCTCACCCACACGGGTAGGACCCAGAGATGAGAAAGGAACCCCACATGAAGTAAAGGATGTTTTCCGAAGGCTTCTCCATCCACGACATCCAGCACGTCATCATCGTCAGAAGGGTCATCATGCAGCAACTCGCACAGCTCCTCCTTGTCTACGGATTCATCAAAGAAGTCCCAGACGACAGCTGTGCAATCTTCTACCACCGCAAACGCAGCACAAAGGAAGCGCAAAGTGTCCGATGCGCAAAGGCCCCCAAGCAAGCGTGGCCGCGGTCGAGGGCGCGGTCGAGGGCGTGGCGGCTCCAAGCGTGCAGCGAGAGATGCTCTCTCTGAAGCTCAAGTGGCGGACAGCGAGGTTGACCTTCAACCACCCGCAGAGAGACCTCCAGAATGCTTAAGGTATTTTGCAAACATCCGCAAATCAGACCATGGCTCAGTCCAAGTTGATTTGGACTAAGCATGTCCAGGATCAAGGGCTCGGATTCCGAGTGGCGTTCGTCATTTACTGATGTCAGCTGCCTGTTGAGCCTGCTGTGTCCAAGTCTTACCAGAGGTTGCCAGGCCGCAGCTGTACAGAATCGGCCAGCAGCCAGCGCAGCCTGTACGCTCAATGTCTGCCGAAATGAAGCTGGCATCTTGTACAGGTGCTTCCGACAATGGTCATCGATCACAATCTTTCAGATTGAATGGAACACAAACTGAATGTACTTATCGAGGTGTGACCCTCGAGCAATCCTACGCATCAAGTTCCCTATCGAGTACATGCGAGGCAGGGCATCGAGACAAACCCCTCGAACTTCGCACTGACACAAAGGAGCCTTTTTCAAGCCAAATGCCAGACTCTGTCTGCTTGACCAATCTCGTTGCAGAGGTGAGAACGCGGCCTTTTCTGGCCCAGCCATACAGCAAGGGGGCCCAGAGAGCAAAGCGCATGCTCTGCGGACCCGTGCGCGCGTGACTTTTTGAGAGAGCACTCTTTTTTGCGCTCATTCAGCTTTCTTCTCCGCCCCTCTTAGACTCGTTTCCCATTTTGAACACCAAGGACTGGCTTCACGTTTCCTCAGCAGGCGTCCCCTTCTGTGCAGCTGCTCTGTATAGAGAGAGTCGATCATTCAGATGCCCCAACAACAAAAAAGGTTGAGAGCCGAAACAGAAGTTTGAAATGCCCCGCCCCCCTCCCCCTCGTTGGAAGATCTGAAACCTAAAGCTTTGAGGGTTGAGGCCTTCAAGGCTTCAGCCCCAAGATCTGAGAATTAACGGAGTCTTCAAGGTCGCAGCTCAGTGCTCTTAAACCTTTGCAGCTGCAAGAGCTAAAGTCTCGAAGGCTTTGCTCACATGAAAAGGCCTGGGGGGGAAGGGGGGGTGGGGCAGGGAAGAAATATGATAGAAAGAAGCGACAGGCAAAACCGAATGTGGTACCCAGCAAGCGAGACCGCGGCCGGTTTTCTCGGGGAACATCGCAGCAGAGCAGCACAAGAATGAGGAGGAGGAGGAGGGGCATGGCAACTCACCAAGCTGAGAAGCGCTCAACCCTTTAGGAACCTGTTTTCAGTCAGTGTCCGTGAATCAGTTTGGCACGAGGCTCCTGCCAAGAACCTGCAAATGCCTGAAGAGTCCCAAGGCTAGTCCCATTTGTTCCCTTCAACTCCGCTTTCCCGTCCTAACCACTGTGGAAATATAAAGCATGTGAGGTCTGTTGTACTTGTTGCTGGTGTTGGTTCGTCTACTAGTTGCTGTTACCAACGTCGCAGCATTTCCGGCCGAAGGGCCGTGCCACATGCCACCGCCACCCGACTGAATAAACATAGCAGGGACGGCGTGATCAAAGCTGAAGAGTCTCATGCGTCAGGTTGAACGGCGCCAAAGCTTAAATACGATTGAGCTGTGCCCTTACCTGTTGCAAGTTCCGAACTCCAATGAGTGTTGCGCAGTCTTTGCACCTTGAGCGCTTTGAGCCCTCAGCTCTCTTGGCCCAAGTGGGCCCTGCAGCCCGACGTTTATCCGTTTGCAGTGAGTTGAATACCGGAGAAACAATCGCCAAGCGCTGCTGAGCTGGGAAAAGCGCTTCACAATTTGCTGCAACCTCCAGACTCAGTGTGTCGCGCATGCGGGCACCATGTTCTCCCAAAATGCAATCCCAATTGCCGGCAGATTGGCACCATGGCCAAAATCCAGGCGCAACCATCAGGGCAAACAAATCTCAAAAAGCACCGGCAGAGGGCTAAAGCTCGGAGTTCCAGGCACGAAGATTGGAGATATGCGGTGTGGCAGCTGGATTCTGCGCTGGCACCATCTCATGTGAGGCATGTGAGGCAAGGGTTTGGAAGATTTGCTCGTGCCAAGCAGTGGCTGCAATCGAGAGTGTTGCTCCATAAAGCTTTGAAGACTACAGTGCAGCTTGACGTGGCTGCATACAACTCTGTTGCAAGTGCCTGTAACGGTGCACGGAGGTCGCTCATGGCATGGCGTGTTGCGAGACGGAATTTGGGTCTCATCAGACAAGCTGGGATGGAAGTGGATATGTTCTCGTATGGTATTGCTGCCGTCACATGCAGCGCCTCTCCAGGGTTCTCCTTGGGGCTCTGGAGTCAGGCTTACAGCCTGCTGAAGACTGCAAGCATGACCAGCGTTCGCCTGAGTGCTGTTGCTTGGAGTTCCATTCTCGACACGAGCAGCAAAGCCGGCCGATGGGAGGACACAGCTTTGCTGCTGCAAGCTATGGAGTGCGGTACAGGTCCAGTGCCTGACACACACTGCGTCAATGTACTGATGAGTGCAGTGGCTTGGCAGCTGGGCCTGGACATTTTCAGCAAGGCAACCACTTCTGTCGGAGTGGATGAGGTGTCCTTCAATTCCGCACTGGCTCTGCTGGAGGGTAGAAGCTCTGCAGATGGAGTGTGGTCTTTGGTTTCCATGATGCGAAAGACAAGGATCAGGCCCTCCCAAGTCACTTATGGTACAGCATCACGGGTATTTGGTGTGTCCAGCTTATGGAGTTGTGCTGTCCAGGCGCTGCGCTTTGGTTCCCTTTCGGGGGTGGCCCCAAACATCATAGCCTGTGGTGCAGCTGTGGACGCATGCCAAAGGAGCGGGGCTTGGACAATGGCATGGATGCTTCTTCAAGAAATCAGCACAATTCAGCTCCAGACCAATGCTCCTGCCTGTGGAGCCGCAATCACTGCAGCTGGCAACTGCCAGCAGTGGAGCCATACTCTGGCTTTGCTGAGCCAGGTAGCCAAAATGTCAATACCAACCACGGCTCCAACCATTGGAGCGGCAATGTCTGCGTGCCAGGGAGCTGTAGACTTGACGACGGGCTCTTGGCAGCAGGTGCTGGACTTTTTGCGGCTCGGGTCCGATCTGCAAATGCTTGGAAGTGGGGTCAGTGCATGCAGCAAGGGTCAGCAGTGGGATCATGCTCTCGCACTGCTAGCATCCTCCACATTCTGGCGCCTTCAACCCAGTCTCACGGTCGTGAACTCAGCATTGGATGGTCTAGACCGCGCCGGACTCTGGGCTGAAGCGGCAGACCTCCTGGCTTCTTTCTCTCCATCGACGAAGCTCGATTCGCTCAGTCTCCGCAGCATCATGCAAGCAACGGAGGTCGGTGGCGGCACTGGGCAGAATCTCGACAACAACAGCAGCAAAACACGCTAGAGCAGCGAGATTCCGCTAGACTCGGGATGACCTTTGAAATTTGAATTGAGCTCTGCTAACAGCCTTGCCACCCTCAAAGCCTCAAGGCTCCCAAGCTTTACTCACTTTCATCCATTCGGAATCTGCTCGAAAGTTGCCGAAGTTACCTAGACGACTTAAACTACTAATATAGTTAAGGGTGAGGATGATACTGCGAAGATAAGGATACCGACATTCTTGACGAAAACCGAGCTCTGGATCCACTCCGCGGTTTGCAGTTTGGAGCACGCAGGGATTGATGTCCAAACTGACACGGGATTCGTTGTTGAAGCGCTCGACAGCGTACTGGAGCACAGAGACGTGAAGGATGCAATATGGCGAGAGCTGCACGCAATTCTGATGCCGGCTTTGTCAACACTCACTGCGCTTTGCCACAGACAGCTCCAGGCAGGTGACCCAAAAGCCCTACAGCGTCAGCCAAGCTTAGGACGTGCTTTTACCAGAGTCGCACTTGACACGATGGAAACAATGGGCACCATCGACACCATCAAGAACACCGGGTGGAAGGCCACAGCAAGACTTCAAAACTTGAGAGCGCTCCAAGGTGCCCTGGGACAGGGACAGGCGGCACAGGGACGGGATCCAGCTGCCAAGAATTTAGTGGCCTGGTGTGATGCAGTGATGCAAGCGGAAGTTCGTGAAGGCAAAGGTCCTTCCGAACTTGCTGACGATGGTGACGTGGTTGATGTATCGGACTCGTCGAACCTCAGACGAACCATTTTAACCTGTCGTTGCCGACTGCATGGCCGCGCGGACCTGGATGGTTTGAGTACAGCCGACTCCGGTGAACAACTGGCGGCAGTGTTTGTGGACCATGACAGGCGGCCTCATTGTGAGCGGCAGGCCTTGATTGGGCAGATCCAACACCTCCTCGTTAGAAAGACAAGTCTTGCGTTCCCAAAAATGTTCTTCGATGTCATGCTGTGAATGATTTCTCAGTGCTCCGTGCTACAACAGAAAAACGCGCGCTGTGGCAAGTGAGGAGCATCGCAAATGCACTGCAGCAACCAGGCTGGAAGCCATTGAAGAAGCCTACCCAGCAAACATCCCCTTGGCAGCCTCCTGACCTTCTGGCTGGCAAGCAACATGTGCTTGAAGTACACATCCGACAGTTTAGAAACATCTTTCCGTGCTTGCCTCCGAACGTCTTGAGGTCGTCGTTCTCGGGCTGAGCAATCCCGAAATATCGCCGACCCGGGCGAACAATGCTTGAAGCTAAGAACCCTTTACCTGCCCACACCGCTGGTTCGCTTGTTTGGACACACTTCTGGCCAATTTTTGCGCATGCACGCGCGTGCTCAATGTCATCCCTGACCAGATTTGGACTTTCGAAGCTTTCAGCTTATCCACTGGCACAGCAGAGTTGCGGGCAGCCCAGGAAGTGTCAACAGGAAGCTCTCAAGAGATGGAGAGAGAGATGATTAACGGTTCACGGTGGTCAGTTGTTCTGCAACATGCCGTGCTACCAGGCTGAATGTCAATCTCAATGTCACTGGCTTCAAGATCTTCGGTGAGTTTTCCGGGGCATATGTTACGGGGACTGTGCTGTCTCCGCTAGCTTCCAATGTAGCCATGGCCTGAGAACACTTGACCAACAGAAGTTGCCACCCAACTGATGTGACTCATGCTGTATTTGTGTGTCACGTGATCATTCCTGTGCACTAAGGTTGGCATTTGGTTCAACCTAAAGAGCCCCTTGAGAGCCAGCTTGGAGACTGGACAGTGAAGCCCTGAGAATCATTCGCCTCGTTTGAGAACGCAAGTACCTGGACATGTACTAAGGACGAGCCAGATGAGGCTTTGGTTGCCACCTACCTTCCAGCCACTACCGGACCTCCCCGTGCTTTGATGTGTGCTCGGATGTCTTTAGCATATGAGACATCTTGCTTTGCCAATGTCTTGCCTGTGGAGGACTGTGGAAATGCCTTGTTCTCCTTGTCTTATGACATAAGCCGTGAGCTGGTGAAGAACCCCTTTCCTATCACGGACGCGGGCTGAGACGTGTTCCAAAGCCACCCACGTTGTCTCCGGACACTCATGGCTGCATGCATCCTCGCCCTCGCTCTCTCTCCTCTCTCTTTTTGTTGTCTCTCTCTTTTTCTGTCTCTTTCTGTCTCGCTGTGACACCGACACCCCGGTATCAGAAAGTTTCGGAAACCACCTCTTTCTTGCGTCATCTCACAGAATGTTCGCCACGGGGGAGGGAGGAGGGAAGGGGAGGAAATCTGCACGCTGCAGGAGAACTCGCGAAGCAAAAGTCTGAGCCCACCAGCCCAAGAGACTGCACCACTGTTCAGCTGAAAAGCCTGCTTGTTTCCCTCAGAAGGCACTCGAATGGATACCCGAGTACGACTGCAGCCTCCCAAACATCAAAGCTTGGGACTATAGCGAGCGCTGTGCAGGGCAACGGACCGTTGCAATTCACTCAGTGCTGGCAATCATCATACATCATCATGCAATGAGTCGAGTCTAGAAGCCACCAAGCCAGCACGGCGCACGACTTGTACTTACGACTTGGAGCTCCCGCACGTTTAGACAGAAATATCAATACTACGAAGGTACATGTTTTTGTGGTGATGCGTTTGTTGTACGCATGAAATCCATCAAGTTTGCTCTGAGACTGCATTGTTGAAAAGATGGTTGCTGTCGGATGAGCTGTATTGTTGACGGGTTGTCATTGGTTCATATTGGTTCACATTGACATGGGAGTTGTTCCAGGCCCCCTGTTCTCCACGCTGCGCTGCAGTACTCTATAGGTGGTCTTGTTTTTTTTCAGCACGTTTTGCCCAGCGCACGGAAGACGCAGACGTCCTGGCGGAAGCTCTATTGTGATGCCTCATGTGGAGACCCCATGAAAGACTCTTTTCAGGGCCCGCTCTTTGCCAGCGTTAACCTAAACTGTCACCCCTGCTTCGTGTGGTAGGCCCGCCTCAACAAGTCACACACGTTTGACATTGTTGTTATGTCATGTGTGGAGATCCTTCTCTACTCCGGCCTGGTAGAGACCGTAGAGAGTGTACGCAGTGTGCAGCTTGCGACGTGCCAAGATCGCATACCTCTCACTGCCCTCCGGAACGTACTGCTTTGACAAGTACGACCCCGTGAGCGGCCAGCTCGAATCTCAGAATTGCAAGACAACTGGGTCGATGCGGAACGCTTCAGTCTGCACGCCAGCGGAGCTTGTTCGTTTTAATGTTCGGCCGGCATGGACTGCACAAACGACTACTGCGTAGAATGCTTTCGCATTCATCGGCTTATCAGGTTGTCGTGGTTGTGGTTTTCAAGAGCTGAGGTGGTACGTGGAACTCACCATTGAGCAGGAAGTCTCTTACGGTCTCGACTATGCTTTCGAGTTCGGTTTGACGAATCCCTTCCGCACTCCACCTACTGCAGATAACGTTTTGCACCCAGCTGACTCTGTCGCACGTACATCATCACGGTTTCAACACAATTGGTGCTTGGCGAAGAGAGACTGTCAGGTGTGGCGTTTCGAATCGCTCCAGAATGGCGTGATCCTCCATTTGCGGCGCGCACCCGTTCTGCATGTTGGAAGTGACATATAGACGTGCACGCCCCCGTGCCAGGCGAAGCGTTCCAGGGTTTGAGCTGGAGCAAATCAAGGCAAGCGCAGTAAGTGCGGGCAAGTCCTTGCCTGCCAAGCTTCTTGCGACTTTTTTTAGGAAGTCCGAGTAACACCCTCGGACACTACCACGCTGCTGCCGCGGCACCGGCTGGAGTTCTGTGCTCAGGTACAACTGGTACAATGTTTTGACAGGTCTGCCGCTTGAGTTGAAAGGCACACAGGGTCAGCCTGATTGCTGCCTCTCAGGTTTTACATGATGAGCGACAAGTACATTCCTGGAGGTTCCAAGATCGAGATCACTGCGCCCAGTGGTGCGCAGCTAAGGCGGCTAAGAATATCTGTTGCTTCAATTCATAGTCACGTCAAACGCACTGCAGTTCTCCTAAGCTCCTAAGGTTACCTCTTCACCTGTGCCTTCTTTACCACAGATACCGGGCTGGCGATCACCACAACATGCTATGTCACTTTGCGCTCTCCAATTAGAGCTGCACGGATCAGTTCTGTGGAGACTGCGGTAGAGTATTTCATGGAGTCTTGAAATGGTGCTCTGCCTAGGTTCGAGAGCCGAACATTGCAGAGTTCACCATGGACACTTCAGACCCCAAGGACCCCAACTCGCCGTTTAGGCTGTTTGTCTACGTGTGGAGGGCTCAGCTGTTGACAAAGACCAGGTTTGCCAGTACGCTGATGTTTCCTCCGTTTGCTTGGTTCGTTTGGGGATCAGCAACAATATACACCAATATACTTGCAAGAAACAATGTAACAAGGGCGTGCAGCATGCATCCGAGCGAACTGATCCGGGCCGGCCAAAAACTGGACTCCGGATCGACAACAAGCCGCCGGACAAGCTGACTGGCCGAGCTCGTCAGCCCAGCTGGCCAAGTCGTTCGCCCACAAATTCAACATTGCGATGGCCCCGCACACAAGTGGCATCCAAACTGACCGAAGCTTTGCAAAATTGAACCATCACGTTCTGTTACACAGGTTACCACGCACCGATACGCACCGTCTAAAGTGTGTATCTCACACTGCATCACACTGCCCTTGAGCGATGTTGTCATAGTGCTCAGGTCAAACCCAGAGTTCACCCCACAGCAGAACTATTTCAACTTCCGCATCATCAGCACGGCACTCAACTTCTTGCCAAGCAGGCTGTTCATTCATTGACGAAGGAAAGCGAGGAGATTTCGTGGTGCGCACTTTCCAGTTTGCGCTGAGGTCCGCTTGCCGATGTGCTGGACATGCGTGATTTTGTGCAAAGCTTTGACATCACCGGTCGCATTGAGGCACATCCAGACTAGTCGTCACCGACGTGTTCGTGCGAGTCACACAAACTGGGTTTGCATGCTGCACTGGCCCCATCAAGGTTGACATCCAGGCTACGTTCAATTACTTCGGGCAAGTGAATCCACTTCGCGTTGCGCTGGTCTTGGAGCAGAAGCGTGCGCATTTCTTCGATGTTCACAAAGTAGTTGAAAAGCTCAGCCCCGAGGTCTTCAGACAATCCACCATTCTGAACCAGGCTGATGTTGGCAACGAACTTGTGCCTCTTTTGCAAATCTACTTCGCAGATCAACCCAGCATGGTCAATTCAGGTCTAGGGCGATTGCACAAATGTCATCACACGCATGGATATATCGCCCACTTCTGGCTCGAAATCTCACATGGGAGTGCTGTAGGGGTCTCAAAGCCCAAACCATGCGCTCGTCCAGCCTGCTGGAGGCAGCGTGTTTAAAGCTGGCTTTGTCCCCACGCACTTATGTGCCAGACGGGGCAGAAAGCAAGAACTCCGACGTTGGCTTGGGCAGCACGCAGAACTGGTCCAAGAGCAGCACTGACAGGGATGAAGTGGCTTGCGCAGCTGGCGAAGGCATCAACATACTCGAGTTGCACTTGCCTGGCAACTCGGCATACTGCAACATGCCTACGTACAAAGCTCCCTGTATCAGACAAGTCGAGCCGAGGCATGTCTACGTCTTGCCTACTGCAACTGGCTGGCCCAGACAAACTCTTGCAGGATGCGGCACATGCCAATGCACATGCCGATGCAGGTGGCACCAAGCGGCTGAAACTCTCTGAAGCACATTCCTTTCTTCAGGGCGAGCTGCTCTGGGGATCTGGTCTTGTCCGGGCTTTAGCTTGCCTTTTTAATCTCAAAGCATCTCACAGTGCTTAGCGGTTGAACCGACATTGGTGCTGCCTTTGGAATGATCGCCCTTGCAAACAAGGTGCTTGCTGCCTGGCTGCCAAGCTCCAAGTGTGTGAAGTCATGCCGCGTGCTCGAGCTGGGAAGTGGGCTGGGCACTGGCGGACTGGTTGCCGCGACGCTCGAAGCCCAAGAGGCCTATAACATCTAACTGCAATCGTGCCCCCACGATTTCCCACGGCCCTGCAAGATCTTGTAGGCGGGGCACACCTTGCTTATTATGATACTGGTACTGCCCGAAAAGATGCGTCCTGTATGGAACTTGTATGGGCACTAAACTATTGGACGTTCGTTTCAAATGGCTGCCTGGCAATACGAACCTCGACAATCACAAGCCTAAGGAGAGCAACTGCAGGATAAAGGCGTCGCTTTTCTAATCTCTGCAAGAAACACTGCGCACACCACCGGCGCTTGTGCAATCGGTGGGGGCTAGCTCGTAATGGGCATGACTGGGTTCACATATATTATGAAGCAGTGAACATTCCTGATTCAGGTTGTTGTTTCCGACCGCCCTGGGCGTGTTTTGGAGGCTTTGCAGAGAAACGTGAAGCTTAACTCTGTTGGTTTTGCACATTGGAAACCTCAAACGCAACTCCCACTGCGAGCGGTGGCTCTGGACTGGGCTGCGCTGGCTGCGCCAGTTGGGCAGCGACATCCTGAAGGTCTGGTTTCAACTTGTCGGGGGAGTAGAGAGATGTGTTCGTTCCTAGCTTGCTGGTTTGTACAGCTTTACACTTCAAACGCCCCTGCAGGTGAAGCGGCTGTCTTTGATGTGATTCTGGGGGCAGATATACTGTACGATCGAAGATCCCTTCAATCATTGGTTTTGGCTTTGCACCGCTACCTCGCACCTGGTGGACACTTCTACTGTGTGGATCCAGGCCGTTTGGACAACTGCGCCGTGCGAAAGTCATTTGTCAGCCTTCTGTTGGAAGCACACCCTGAGTGGGAGTATGAAGAGCATACAATGGAGACCTACACACGAATGGCTGAAATGCTGTGCACGACACCTGACGCCATGCACACAAGCCAAAGCACCAAGCAGCAGATTCATATCCACCTACACGAGCACAGGCGTAGAGGCCTGGCGGCTGCCTTGGGTTTGCCTGATACAGCTCTTGGCCAGACGGTCTCTGTGCAGCAGCTGATTGCTGCAGACGCCCCCTACACTCTTTTGGCCGTGAGCAGACCGTGCAGTGCAAAGAAAAAGCATATCGTTGTCCTACAGTGCATCCAAACTAAGCTTAGCTAAACCTAGTCACGCCACGCTCGTTCAGAGATCTCCGCAGCTGCGCGTAGTTCAGGTGCTGTCGGGCCCAGATGGCTTCATCTTCCCTACGAACTGCACAGCAGGGTTTCGACTACGACTCAGTCCGGCCCTGAGACACTCAGAGCACCACAAAGGATAACACATATTGTTCCCACTGGCACTGACAGCAACAGGCAACGCGGTGGAACAGCCCACTAGCAATCGCGGCTATGACATTGGCTTCGTCTTCCCTCCGGAAGGCCGGGCATGCTGAGACAGGAATTCCAAAGAAATCGCGACCACGCCACTGCCACTGTGAACTTCTGTGAACAGGCATGACCTGTAGGGGCTACGACAATGCCACTGTCAGCGTCCGATTTCCAGACGGCTCAGGCTTCCCAGCTGTTCAGACTTCAGACCTATTCCATCCGCAGGTTCAGAAGTGGGGCCTGTTTATGCATTCTTTTGCGCCTTATGCCAGGCCTTCTACGAAACAACTATACTCTTGAAGTTGATGTCAACAACCCTGGGTGCGACCCCTGCCACATATGTACGCAGCATGACAATTGCGAATTGCTTGGCTCGTCGCCTCCACTGTGAGCAGGTATGTACCAAATTCAACTTCATGGAGCTTCGTCACACGTGTGCGGAACGCGGACGGTCAAAAGATCGTCGATGCCAATCGTGACCTCCCCCCGCCCACATGTCCATCATGTTCAGGCACGATGCGCAACCCAAGCGTTGCATGATTTCTGAGAACTGTGATGACTTATGACAGTGTGAGCTGTACTAGAGTCACTCGAGAGGCTATCATCTGCTTTTTGCCAAGTCAGGTACCCTGGACGGTTTCGGCCTGGTCGAACTGTTGCCCATGCGCCAGAATGCCCAGACGTGCTCAGAGAGGGGACTTCGCTGTGCTTCATGATGGCGGTTCTGCAATGAAGAAACGCAACGGCTGGCTCAACGTGTCGTATCTAGCGCATTTGGTGGTGCACCTGCATGACAAGATGTGTAGAGTCTCTTCAAAGATGTCTTCAGGCACAGATGAAGGCTCCACAGGAAGAGCCAAGCTCGGCGCGCTCGTGGTCTGTATTGCCGCCGCCTTAAGGCAATCGGATACCAAGCTCGCGCATCAAGCGACAAGCACGCACAAATACAGTCGACTTCAGCTCAACACTGGATGGCCTGTCTCACATGCTGAGGTGATCCTTCGCTTGTCCGCGCAGCGAGGTTGATCCATTCATGCTCAGATTCGAAACATGAAACACAGCAAACCCTTAATACCCCTTAGTCTTGCAAGGAGCACTTCAAAATCCATGGGCCGATTAGCAACATGTGTGCAAACGATTGAATTCCTGATTCTCTTGCATGTGCTCCTGCCTGCCAAGCAGAGGAGATGTGTGCATAGCATGGTTATGTGGTGTGACAGGAAGCGCGGTTTGGGCCAATCAGCGTACAAGCCACAAGTATTTGCAGGGCATGGTTTGGTTGATGATCCTGCATGGACTGAAAAATCAGACTTCACAATGCAGCTTGCCCTCCCGACGCTGCAGATGTGCAAGTGAGACTGGTCAATTCGCAAGACGAACTGCGCAGCTCCATGCTGCAAGCTATGCAGAAGTCATCAAAATATGTACCCTCAAGTTGTGATGGCTGGTAGTCAACATCGCTTGCCGGCTTGTTGCATGTTGGCACGGTTTTGTGTGTTAGCCTGGGTGAAGAAAGCGTGGTAGGAGGGGGGGGGGGGGGGGGGGGGGGGGGGCGGGACGGTGCAAAAATTGATTGCATTTCTCGGCTCCGCGTCCACATTTGCCTTGCAAAAGTGCTATTGCAGCATCAGCCACACCACGAACAAGTTCGCCCTCCAAGTACCATGCAGCATCAGCCACAACGTTATGCCCGATGCAAGCAGCGATGGCCCCTCCTTGCATCACAATGCATTGACACCAGGCGGTGTGCAAGCACACTAGCTTAAAGCTCCCGCTTTATCACCGTATTACCACACCTCCCAACCCCACAGGCGGAAGCCTGGATTCAGTCTTGCACTCAGCTTTGCATTCGATTTGCATTCAAATGATCGTTGAAGCGTTTTCTGGAACCCAGGCGGGGTTGTCAGCGTTGGCCGCCAAAAACGGTATTGGGGCGAAATCGGAATTGCAAGCTGCTGCGCAGGTCGGTGTGCACAGAGTTTATTTCATTGCAGATGGCTGCGATTTCATTCGTCAGGTTCTCCTCATTCAAAGAAATGGGATACATTTGTGTTCAGGCACTTGGCGCATCTGTCGCAGCAGTGGAGGCGTCGATGTTGCTTGTGTGTGCTTGCTGTGGCTGCAAAGAAGCCCCAGCTTAGCTTGTTTGTTTGGCCAATTGGTTTCTTGCGGCATGAAGGTGGCCGATCATTTGGACAAGAAGCTTCAAGACCTTGCATCATGCCAGCGCAAAGCATTCTTGGCGGATGTCTTGGCGTTTGGGCAATGGCTGAACCGAATGTGACTTCAGGAAATGTAATCCAAGTGTTTTCTTCTGGCAATGACCCTGAGGTGCCTTCAAACAGAGGTTTGTCCGGAACCGATCCTGCATTGGCCCGACCCGACGAAGAATGCGTTTATCTAGTTGGGCGCGTCGCTTACATTCTTACATTTTCGCTGACGTTTGACTGCAAATGACTTGGCTCGTCAAAGCCTTTGGGATGAAGGAACTCTCTGGGACTTCAACCAGCCCGAACCAGAGAACTGGTTGGGGAGGACGCAGTAATGACTACTGAGTAGTCCTTTGCCAGTGCGAACTGGTGTGTCTCAACGTTCGTGCAATGTAGGAGCTGGACAAGTGGGCAAAGTGGGGGGTTAATGGACATTTCACAGGGCGCGGTTCTCACATGTGGAGGGCTCAAGTATGCATGCAGGGGTTTGGACAACGGAATGCTGACAGGGACAGGCCGTGGATGCCAATTGACGAGAATGTCATTGAGCACTGACCCCAGATGTTCATAAGCATGACGCTACGAAGCAATTTACACATATAGCTTGATGTGCAATGGCAGATCCTTCTGCGTGCTTTGTCAGGCAGAGCGCAGCCATTGTCGGAGCAGAAAAGTCTGAGGCAGTGGCACAGTGTCGTTTCATCCATGGCAACTTCGCTCCAAGAATTTGAGGGAAGGGGTGCAGGTGGCCGTCATGAACAGTCTCACGGTGAATTTGCATTTGCTCTTTGCAACTTGGCAAGAGGTAACCGACTCATGATACAATGCACGACATGCCATGGCAAGGTCTCATTTTATAGGCCAGCAGGCCAGCGCAATAGAATTTTGTACGAGGCCTGGGCAGGCAACTTGTTGTGCAAACTTTGCAAATGGATCGAGTGGAGCCCTGACAGGCAAGCGCTTTCGGGTCGGACTACTTCGCCTTTGAGTCCCAGGCAAGGGCATGAGCTTGGCATGAGCTTGGCATGCCTCGTTTCATCTCATTTCCTGTAGACTTGGCAACAGACTTGTCGCTCGTCTACACGTGCCAGTTTCTTTGTGTGCAAATTATTGACTAATCGCGTGCCGGCCACCAGGCACGTCTACATGGCCTCGATCCGAGGAATGTGCTCCTTCCCGTGAAGGTGTCTTGGTTCTGGGCTAGGGTAAACCCACAGCTGCTTGCATCGAGTTTTGCCGGACTGCGTGGATTGGTTTGTCGAATGCATCCCTTCACCCCACTTCTTGCACGTTTCCGCTGCAAGGCGCGTCCCGGAGAGGAGCTACTACACACTGAAGACATTGTGGCAGCTATACACGCCTGCCCCCAAGTCGAGAGACGCAACAGATTCGCAACAATGTTCAACAAAGCATGTCCTTGGCCCTTGGTCTTGATGTTTGCTTGCCTGTGTGGGTCTGTGTGAGTGCGTGTGAGGCCGCTGGAGACAGTCTTGCAGTCGTTTGCTTGGGAACTGTACAGTGCCCCGGCGCTAGTGAGTATTCACGTATATTCAAATTCACAGTACAACACATCACGACTTGCATGGCTGCAGGTACTACACGGGTCAATACTTTGATGTGGAATCCATCACAAAGGCGGCCCACGCTGTAGGAGCAAAGGTCCTCGCCTCAGAGTTGACCGCGGAGTAATGCTCAGAACATCACAGAACTGTTGAAGTTCTGTTGAAGGATGCTCCAGTAAGGCAATTTGGGACTGCGCGCATGCTGTTGGAAATGTAGACGCGAGCTCAGCAGTGAGACTTCCAACTTTGGAGCGTGAGATAGGACGACACAAGAAGAATGCCTAAGCATGACCCTCTTTTGACCCTCTTCTGCTTTCAAGTTGGACTAAGGACTTGAAGCTACACCAATGGGACGTAGACGGTGCCTGCTGGTGCATGCCTGATTTCAGAAAGTCGGCTAGCGTTCGTCACTCCAACGCTCTCCATTTAGGTGCAACTACAAGTATCTCAACGCCGGTCCTGGGGCCATCGGTGGCTTCTTCGTGCACAAGAAGCACCATGACCAAGGAGACACCCCGACTCCCTAGCCTCAACGATGAACGAGTAAGAGAGTCAAGCATACACCGGCAAGTTTCGGGCCTTGCCCTGGACCCTCGCACCTCGTAAACAAGCAGAGAGAGCCCACCACAGCATCGCGAAACATTAAAAGTGTGGCCTTTGGTGCCAGGACTGCCCTTGTTGGCAGGATGGTGGGGCCTGGATCTTACGGGACGACTCCGCCAAGGATGATGGGTTCTGCTGGTCAGGTCAGAAGCAGGCTGTTCGCTTCAACATGGATCACAAATGGGATCCTGAGGCACATGCGCACTGACATGGAACATGGGTACACCTAGCTTCAGCTCATCGCAAACAGATGCAAATGCTGCAAAGTAGAATGCGTATGAATGCATATGGCATGCATCGCGCAAGAGTCAGAGTTGAGCAGGTCGACGCCGGAGCTTGGAGGCTGTCCAATCCACCAGTCCTGCAGACGGTCTCCTTGCTTGCAAGCTTGGAGATATTCTCCAGGCACAAACGTTGCACTGTGTCATTCTGTGACCATAGTAATCGCGGCATTGCTGAAGCAATGTGGTAGTACAGCAAGCCAAGCACGCGTTGGAGGACAACAATGTCGGAGCTTCGGGGCAGGCGCCTTTCAACAACGGCTCCGTAGTTCTTACCTCGTGCTTGGATTCTCAAGGAGTCAAGGTCCAGACTAGTGCACAAGCAGCAGCCCGCATGCGAGATGCCTGTTGAAAGCTAACTTCAACACCTTGAAGCCTTAAGCAGTGGGGTTGAATCCTGCAGCGCTGAATCATGGGCCAAGTGGGACACTCTCGCTCTGAATTTTACTCCAACAGTGCTTACCAATTTGATTGAGTCTCCAATCTCTGTCCCGAGAATCCATTCGGTGCAACTTCCTTGTGGTGAAACACCGGTGCTAGCGTTGACAGCCAGGTCAATGCTGTTGACAGCCTACCTGGAGCTGCTGATTGCTGACCTGGTGGGGAAACATCTCTCTGTGCATGGCTCGGCTCGACAACTGATCCTCGGCAACGGTGCTTGCCGGATGGACATGATTTCTCCAGGTTATTACACCGGAATGCCCCTCCTCCCGCGGTTGCCAGCTGAGTCTGAAGTTCCAGGAGGCATCGGACATTCCCCCACCACAGTGGATACATCTGCCACTCTGCAACTCCACCTCGACAGGAGAGTTCATGTTTGGCAACTTTTGCTGCGCTAGAGAAGCGTGGCATTGCGAGATACCCAGACTCTTCTCGCCAAGCGCCTGTCGTTGCCGCATCAGCTCATGTTCAACTATGTCCAACTAGCATCAACCTGCATCACACTACAAGGTTGTAGATCACAGGAAGCCCAACGTAATTCGCGTTGCCCCAGCTCCTCTCTACAAGTGCTGCCGGCAGGCATTGTAGAGTGCGAAACGCAGTCGCAAGATCCTATTGCCACTTTCAGTGTCGCGCGCCAGCTCCTTCAATGATGTGCACAAGTTCTGCACCGCGCTACGAGAAGCGCTACAGGAGGCACTGGCTAGAAGGCCATCATTCCTCCAAACTGGTGCCGTGCGCGTTGAAGGTTGCTGAGCCTCCAGCGAAGCGAACAAAGGCCACAGAGCTGCAAGGGAACCAAGCATAGGCACATCACATACATACATACATATATATATATGTATATGTATATATGTATATATGGTCCGGCGTCTGGCGTGTCCGGCCCCCCCCCCCCCCAATGGTATGGTCAGGTAGGTAGGGGGGGGGGGCCGACCCTCGGCAAAACCCGTGTTTTGTGAGTGTTGTGCCTTGGGTTGAGGGAGCACGCCCTCGGGAAAACCTATGTGTGTGAGGCGTTTACCCCCCCCCCCTCCCCCTCCAGGTCTACGGTCTCTAACCCTAAACCCTGTCAAACCCCAAGCCCTAAACCCTAAACCAACCCTAAACCCTAAACCCTAAAACCAACCCCCAACCACACCACAGGGGGGGGGGTTAACCCTAAAACCTTTCAAACCCTAAACCCTAAACCCTAAACCTAAAACCACCCTAAACCCTAAACCCAAAACCAAACCCAAAACCCAAAACCTAAACCCAAAACCTAAACCCTAAACCCTAAACCCTAAACCCTAAACCCTAAACCCTAAACCCTAAACCCTAAACCCTAAACCCTAAACCCTAACCCTAACCAACCCCCAACCACACCACAGGGGGGGGGGGGGGGTTCCAGACCATGGGGTGGGGGGGGAGGGGGGGGCCGGGGAGCACTGGACCATATATTAATATACATATATATATATATATATATACATATATACATGTATACATATATACATATATACATATATACATACATACATACATATATACATATGTACATATATACATATATACATATATACATATATACATATATACATATATACATATATACATATATACATATATACATATATACATATATACATATATACATATATACATATATACATATATACATATATACATATATACATATATACATGTGTACATACATAACATGTGTTGAGTCTGGCAGGCTTGGGTTCGCATGCATCATGCCACATGTCGTCTAGCACTTTTGGCTTAAAGCATTCTGGCCGTTGAGCCAGCTCGCAGGTTCCTTGCACACTTATCATGTACTTACCCGCCCGTGAGGAGAACACTGTAAAAGACTTACTGCAAGCCTGTACATTACATAAGCTAATTTACAAGCTCACGCGTGAAATTAGACTCTTAAAGTTGGGGTTTTCCCTGGCGCTCATTAATTCTCTTATTGCACCGGTATAGAAACAAAAACAAAAAGGCGAAACTCGAGGGCGGAAAGGGGTGTCAAGCATTGTGAAGACTGCCCGCGGCGATCTCGATATGGTAAAGGTAGGTTCCTACAGAAGGGGAGTTACCATATTGCATGTGTATATACAACTATATGTCAGCACCTCAAGCACTTGTCAGGTGTGATACGCTGCCACACGTGGGCGCTCGAGCCCCGCAGCTTGCAGAGCGCAAGCGCTTGATTAAAACTGCTGTCCAAAAACAGACAGCAGGATCCTTGCCTTGCCAACCATGCTTCGTAAGCGTTTAAACGCCGCAAGTGATGTCTACTGGCAAGTGGCTTTGCGTCATTGCGAACTGGTCATGTTTGTCGGCTCCAGCTCACAGAGATGCCTCTGAAACTAACTAACCTTTACATTGTGGTTCACCAAACTATCTGACACAAACAGTTATGCGTCACAGCAAACTGTATGGAGGATTTGCAAGGCATATGTAGACATCGTTTGACCAACCCCGTTTGAAGCGATGGTGGCTGAAGTTGTGCAGGCGAGCAGATTCAGCGGCAAAGGAGTGTGAAATCCACCTTCCGACTGCTAGGAGCCTGCACATAGCGATGAGGCCCATGCGCTGCGGGGTCGTCGTATGCAGATATCGTTGAGTTCTGTCGAAAGTGATGTTTTGGGCTGTTCGGTTTCGGCTCACAGATTCAGGCTAGGAGGGCGGCTAAGGCATCGGCAGCCTGACGTGCAACATGATTGTGCATCGCCGAGGTTCGCTGTGTCTCACGACGCTGTTCTTACTCACTGCTTGCTTGCAGCTTACATTTGTGTCACACAATGTGGCCACGCGTCCTTGGCGCAAGTGGCGCCAGATAAAGACGATGATGAGATTCAAGCCCGGCATCAAAGTTGAAAAGATGTCCAAAGAAGAGGCAGAGAAACAATTTGGCATCTCCTCCTGGCCAACTTGGGGCTGTGGCGCCTCGAAGTTTGACTGGGAATACAGTGGGACAGAGACTGCATACATTCTGGAGGGCGAGGTGACCGTGACTCCAACTGGAGAGTGGTCGGATGCTGAGCCGGCCACAATCGAAGCAGGAGACCTTGCGACCTTTCCAGATGGAATGACTTGTGTTTGGGACGTGAAGAAACCTATCAGGAAGCACTATAACTTCTCATGATGACCTTGGCGCCCTGACGGCTGGTCTCTCTGTTCCAGACCTACAAGATCGTTAGTTTGCGCGAAAAATCGCCCATAGGAAGAGATGGAGGGTCGTGGCACCCTGCACGCGCCACATGAAAGAGAAGAGCGAGAGCGTGCACTGATGTTGGAGTAGCGTTCGCAAACAGCACAATCAGTGAAGCAGGCCTTCAGAGAAGCCCTTCTCAAAAAGATTGCGGGTGAGGATGTGCCGAACCTAGCTTGAACAGATTCAGCGTGAAGCAGCGAAGTGAATGTTCATGTCCTCTTGGATCATGCATGGACAGGCTGCGAACTCCTGAAGTGTAAAGCCGAACCTCTATTTCACAAAATTCCAAGCGAGAGCCTGTGTTTGCGTAAATCCCCTAGCGGCATACTGGCGAAGACTTGCAAATCAAACCCGCCACCGCAAGTACCCACAAGAACGACTGAATGGCACACGCTTGATTCTTGATTTCTTCGGCACTGGCTTGCTCGGCTCATTGGTCTAGAGGTTCTCGGCATTGCGTCCTCCACTTCACGCCCGCTGGAAGCGTTATTGAGTTGCTGCAGCAATTCAAACTTGAAGCCATTCTACAGTGCTTTGATCCGCTACACTGTCCTCGAACACTTTAGAAGCACTCGGTTCTCTTCACGAGGGCTCCGGATGGACAAGATGCTTGCGATGAAGGGCATTACGGTTCGTTCGCTGGCAGTCACCAAACAAGCGGCAATGCACCGTGAACAACCCACAATGCTTTGCTTCCAGCTGCCGATAACAAGCAGTTTCCCAAGCTGCCGAACATCTCCAAACCCTCCAAAACTCAAGCCTGCGGCAGGGAATCGATTTTTCTTACGCATGGATAATGCAAATGCTCAAGCATGAATGCTTCAAGGATCACGAGTCCTGTTATTCTTTTAGAGCAACTCAGGATCTAAGCGGGGAGGAGCTTGTGAAGCACGAGAAGTTTTTGAAAGCCAAGGACAAGAACCACTGTGCCGGTGACATGATGCGACAGAACCATCAACATGTTTGCGAGGAGGCTTTTTCGCAGCTTGCAGAGAAGCAGTCCACCCCAATCAAGGCACCGGCATTCATGCTAACATTCAGCAGTGCCAATGCTTGTGTGCTTACCCCGTGTGGTAGCTTCACAGCTTCAGGACACTGGCATCCACTTGCGAACAAGTCAGCAAGTTCGTTCTCTCCCCATGGTCTATGGTCTGACACAACGCCAGAGCCGCAAGCCCGCATTGTTAAGGTTTGGGTGGTGCTGCCTTCGACGAGGCCACAACAACGGAGAATTTGTTTCTGGCGCTTCTGGCTCCATGCTCAAACAGGAGACTGCTCGAAAGTTGGAGGCCATAGCAGGCAGAGCGGCGCAGGACACTTCATGTTGCATATGACATAAGCGCCAGACCCGAATTTTCTCGCGGTAGAATGACTTGGCAGGACGCAGCTCGCCGTGAGATAGACAAAGCCAAGCAGGCCTGCTGCCACTTGTGAAACATCTGATGCCAAAACCCCCCGCAGTCTGCATCCATTAGGGTCCAACCTGCGCGTGGCTGTAGACTCCATGCGGTGTTGCACTCGGCGCGAAAAATATGGAAGGATAGCTCCAGGACGAAGAGCTGCGAGCCCCAAAGCCTAAAGCGAAATCGAGAGCATGAGGCGAGATGGAATCGAGTTAGAGAGCGGAGGCTTTGTGAATAGAATCAGCAAACACACAGACAAATTAAGAGCAAGGGCTTTTTCATGCAAATCTGCATAGAGTGTTGATGAATGCATGGATATGCGTGGCTTATTGGAGCAGATGGACAGCACAGAGCGTGATCTGTGAGGCTTGGCCAGAAACTTCGAGAGTAATCCAAAGTACTGCTTCGCAGGCGAGCCAGGCAGCTGCAGCTGCCCAAGCAGAGGCAGAACTGCAGACCATGGCAGTGAATCGCTGTGGTTCTGTATGTTAACTGCATCCGTGTGTGGCGTGCAGGCACAAAGTTCTTTGCAAGCAGCCGTGGCACACCTGTCCAACGAACCCAAGGCGCACGACTGACGAGACAATCGCTTAGATGTCAAGGTATCGCTAGATTTGTAAGGCCGCAAGTTTGATCCCAACCTGGATTTCTGATGATGAGTACAAGGAGCACTCAAGCACCCTCTATTGCGCTGTAACATGATGCCACCTCTGACTGGTAGAAAGTTTGCGAACATGGTCACGGACAGTCACTGCCTGCAGCCGAGGACCTCGGATATCCACAGATGGATCCAAAGTTTAGAGATAGAGAGCCTCTTGTCAGCACTGAGTCAGCACAATGGTGGAGAAACGGCAAACAAACAGCAAACGGCAGCAAAGCATGATGACATGAGCATCCCGTCGGAATGCAATTTCGAGGTGGCACAGGAAGCAGCTTCAGCTTGACAGGTGCGGGTGTTGCATTGCCCCGGTCAGAGCCATTCCATGATCTTCCATGTTGGATGATGTGTCAGTACTGATCCACGGCACAACCCGAACCTCAACCGCGACCAGAGCGACCCGGAGTTTTGGTATCATGCGGCTAGACGGCCGTTCAACAAGGCTTGAGAGGAATCCTGGCAAGCTTACTACTCAAAAGTGTGAGTTCTTTCCAGGCGCTGCTCCGGACAGAGCAACATTGGAATGCTCGTCGGGAAGCATGACTCCCAGAGGTTTGGACTTGGAGACTCGAAGGCTCTAAGGCTCGAAGGCTCTAAGACCCAAGTCCAAGCCAACGTCCAACCACCTCCTTCAGAGGGCTTCCTAGCCGTGCTCGCCCAAGCTTAAGGTATGGCTGAAGCAGTTTGAGCAGGCATGCGGTGCAATTCTGAATCTTTGACATAAACGACACATCATGGGCTTTCGTACAGGTGAAGGACATGAACCAGCGGCGAGAGCTTCTTACTGAGCTGCTCGAGGACACAGATTGCGTCAGCTTGTTGGCCGAGACAGAGAGAGAGGGAGAGAGAGAGAGAGGGGACTCCGAAGTGCTGAAAGTGCTGAGAGGAGGAGGAAGAAGAAGAAGAAGAAGAAGAGAGAGAGAGGGGGTAGGGTAACTTCCCTACTCCTCATGCCCCGTAGAAGAAAAGAAGAAGAAGAAGAGAGCGAGACAGACGAGAGAGACGAGAGAGAGAGAGAGAGAGAGGGAGAGAGACTGACCTTCGCGGGGGTGTAAAGCTGGTCAGGAGCGGGAGCGGGCGCGCCTAGGCGCGGGGCCAGCCCCATGCCCCAAAGACAGAAAGAAAGACTGACCTTCGGACTGGCGCGCCCCTCGGGGCAGCTCCTCCCCTCTGGGGGGTTAAGCGTGTGGAGAGAGGGAGAGAGAGGGAGAGAGAGGACAGCCGCAACCCCGGGGGAACCAACGCGCGGCCGCAGCCGACCCGTGCGAAAGATGGTGTCACAAAGCCGTCCGCAGCCCAACCCATAGCGGGGTCCGCCTCGCTCCCAGTGGCCCGGCCGTGGCCAGCGGACGTTCCTCTTCCCGCTGCTGGCGTCACGAGTGCACACACGTACAGACCACCGACCCTGCCACTGGCGCAAGCAGCATTAGTCCACTCGTCATCGCCCAGACGTCAGCCATCGCCGTTTGGAAGCAGCGCCATTGCCATCGTGGAGTCATTGTGGGCGTCAGCCCCGTTGCTCAACGGACCAGGTGTGCCCGTTTTTGATGCTGCGTTGGATCTTTTTGCCATCCATGACATGACAGAGCATTGGTGTGCGAGTCGGGGAGCGTTACACCCGAGCCAAGCTCCCCCGCGTTTGGAGCCAGGCCTTGGGCAATGGCTTCCCTTATGGCGGCATTGGCGGCCGCACCTGAGGCAACTTCGTGAGGCCGTAGCCGAAGAGGTCGTGCAGTTGGTGGAGGACTGTTCCGAGGAGGTGCATGAGTGGTTTGCGACTTTGAAGCCTCATGTGAAGCTAGCGTACGGCGGCAAACAGGGCCAGTGCAACATGAAGCTTCCAGTGATCAAACTCTTGGCGGCGAAGCTGGGCTGGGGCGACATGGCGTTGTTCGAAGAGATGCACCGTGGCTTTCCGTTGCTAGGACACATACGGCCTGGACTGGGCTGGCGATTGCGGGGAGACAGCAAGTACGCCAAGCCGCAAGACATCCAGGACTTCTTCGAGGAGAATCACGCCTTTGTTCAGAAGAAGCTTCGCCGTGGGAAAGTCGACCCATGTTGGCGCAAGATGGCAGATGAGATCGCGGCCGACGTTGAGTTGGGGCGCATGGAAGGCCCTTTTGCAGCCCCGGCCTCATGGTGCAAGACGACGGTCCCGTTGGCTTCTCATGCTCACGCAGCCACGCTGATGCCAGCGCCGGAGGGGTGGACTCCGTGTTCCTTCGCGTTCGCAGTGCGCCAGATTGGCTCTGATGGCAGGGAGAAGATCCGTCGCGCGGAGGACTGGCGCCAGTCTGGTGCAAATAAGACCGTCGGAGTACCCGACACTCCTGCGTACCATGGCATCGAAGCATTCTTGCACTTGGCGAGAGCAGTGAAGAGAGAGCTCAACCACTCTGTCGGTGCCCTTCGCTTGTGGCTCCTCAAGCCCCGTGGAAGAAAAAGAAGAAGAAGAAGAACAAGAAGAAGAAGAAGAAAACGAAGAAGAGAAGAAGGAGAGCGACCGTTGTTTGCGTAGTTCCCGTAGTAGGAGAAGAAGAAGAAGAAGAAGAAAAAGATGGGACAGAGAGAGAGAGAGAGAGAGCGACCTTTGGGAAGACCCTTCCGGGGGTGAGAATAACCAAGAATGACAATTACACCACCGAAGACCCCAAACAGTCCAAGGCACGTCAAAGAAATTCCAAGAAACAGTGCAGACGAGACGAAGGGAGACAAAGGGAGGCAAGGAGCGCAGCAACCCCACATGAAGGGAGACCAAGGGAGACAAAGGGAGACAAAGGGAGACGAGGAGCCCAGGAACCCGGCAACAGTCCTCAGAATGTCGGCAATCCCTGAATGAATTTGAAACCCCAACAGTAGACTGTTTGGAAGAAAACACATGCACACACACACACACACACACACACACACACACACACACACACGCGCACACGCACACGCACACGCACACGCACACGCACACGCACACGCACACGCACACGCACACGCACACGCACACGCACACGCACACGCACACGCACACACACACGCACACACACACACACACACACACACACACATGTGGAGGCTTCTTGTTGCGCCATGTCACCGATCATTCAGGACAGCCCGGCAGACCTAAAACGTTTGGTAACGCCAATCCTGCACTATAGCATCACCATGAATGTGCTGATTGGCTTTCTTGAGAAGGCACGGCGCTGCTTGATCATGGAGCACGCGGATTGTTCAAGTACATGCAATGGCTAGGCCGACAAAACCAGCCGAACCTTCGAGGAGGTGCTTTTGGATGAGGACAGGAACCGGATTTTAGGTGCGCACCGACATGAATAGTCTGGTTTTATTGGGCTGGATTGCTTTGGGACACTGCATATGAGCCGCGGCCACGATCCTCAATTTGGTTCTGGTAATTCAAAGCTTTCGGAACAGCAGAGTTGTGCTAAAGTTGTGTTTGTTTTTTGCTTGTCAAAGTGAAGGGACTCCATGAACAGGCGTTGCTGCGTTGCTCTGCAAGCGTGCACACAGGATTCAAAGACCATTTCAGCTGCCACGCTTGAGGAGAGCCTAAACGTGTTGCGGGGCATCCGTGACAAAGTGGACGCCAATGGTGACAAGGATGCTTGACTGCATGCATGAGAGGTTACTCTGAGTTGATCATACAGACCCGAAGAGGCTGCCGCAGAACTGCTCGAAGAGTACGATGCCAGATCGAGGCCGGCCATGGCTTCGCTTTCCGCTTTCGGATTTCTGATGAGTTCGTCTCGTCGATTCGGTTGCACTAGGCCTGCATCAAAACCTCCAAAGTCGATGCTGCCGGTCGATTCGGAGTCGAAATTTGTAGGAGAATATGTACAGGTAAGCGGTTGTCCCAATGCTGTGCGTTGTGAGTTACAGTGAGTGCTTATGCACGAGTTCCTTTGACCATTGCCCGACTGTGTTGATGACATGCTGCAGCAGCAAATGCTACAAGATGCTAGAAACGCACAACTCTGTCTGAAAACGTTCTCGGAACAACCCAACCCTAACACGTGGCCGAACGTGGCAGAGTATGCATGGCCGTGCAAGGCAACCGCGGTTATTCGCGTAGCCTAGGATATGCTACTTGTTCGGAATCGGGTTTCGGCAAGCTGCACAGCACTTGTGGCCTGAATTGGTTTGCATTTCTGAAGGGATGGCCCCTTGTTCCAACATGTTCCAAAACTGTGAAAAAGGGTCTCGATTTCACGAAAGCGTCGTCATAGCACACGCAAGCAGGAACCAAACCATTACTCAAGAAGAATGCTTGGGCCAGACTTTTTGGCATTTCAGTACGTTGCCGCGCATGCCGCTAGTAGTGTCCAGCAGACAGGCCATCAGAAACATGCAAAGCGCTTTACCAGAAAGTTTATCAACAGTACCAATCAAAAGCAGACTACCGGAATCACGAATCATCTCTCACAACAGTACCAATAGCAAGGAAAATATGCTGACTCGCGTATGTCTTGGACAAGCGTTGGTGTTCGTTGCCGTACGGCTACGACTGTACGAAGTTTACTGCAGGAAATGGTGAGCCCAGAAAAGTGTTAGTCGATCTGGACAAAGAAGCTGATATCCCGCTGCCTTGCAGTTCTGCTCGAATGGCACGAGGCTACTGGCTTCTGATCTGCAAGAGAAGAAGTTGGAAGAAGAGCAGGCATCAGTCGCTTGTCAGCCTTGCCGAGCGTTGTACGGCTGTGGGAATTGGAGACAGGAGCGGCGAGTGGCAGATGTCACCACACTGGCGCAGATCATGAACTGGGGCCAGAAATGCAAGAAGGTGAAGATCTGAAAACTGGGTGCATTGATAAGATCTGAAAAAACAAGCGTCTTACACTTCCCTACCAGGATGGCCTCGTTGAGTGGGAGCAGGGAAACTACGCTGAAGCACGTGCCAGCTGGAGGCCATACATTGCTGCAAAGACGTCGCTGATGATCCGGTGGCTGTCCTAATCTTCACCTGACCAGACAAGCGCATGACACGCTGCGCCCTTTCAAGGCCGCTTGACCGGAGACCACCTTCAGCTTAGAGTTGCCCGAATAAAGTCACATTCCAGAGACTTCATGTGTGTGGGAGCATAGGCGGCAGACAAAGAAACGAATGAGCTGCTGTTCGAACTTCATGCGGCTGTTCTGAAGAACCTCGCGCAGGCAAAGTTGAAGCCGCAATGTTCAGCAGCACATGTGTAGCAACAAAGTGCTACAACCTAGTAACAAGTGGCAGAAGAGGCGTGCATGAAGCTCGGATACTGGAACGAGGCATCCAAGGCCATGCATTGGGGTCGTGTTTGCCGTCTCAAACATCACGCTCATTCAAAAGATCCAGCATGTCAGGTGTCAGCAATCGCCACCCAGCTCTGCCCAGAAGATCACAAGGCCGTCAGAGAGTATGCTTTGATTCAGAACATCGAGGCATGTCATGCCTGTGTACAGGCATATGTCAGTGTACCTGTCAATGTTGAGGCGTGGTTTCGGCGGGCATGCGCCTTGGAAGGTTTGGGCGACCTTCTCGAGGCTCAGCATCGAGAAGTGACGAAGTGCCGAGTGAAGCAAATGGAACTCAGCCATCCCCGAGTCCTGGAGTCTGTGCTGGTTGCCTGGTATGTTCTGATCGCAGGCCGAAAGATGCCTGCAAAAGATCGACGAATGTTCAGTCGGCCGACCCGATCGCCTTCGTATCGCAAAGGACATCCAGGCAATTGCTTGCGATGTGAAAGTCTTCTACTTTATGTTGTCTTTGGCCAAGACAGTTCCCGCAGATTCCAGCAGGTACATTCAGCAAACATGCAGACTTTGACAGGCCAAGCGTGAGAAGCTGCAAGCCCTGCGAGAGCGGGCCGATGTCTCAATCACGTGAGCCCAATCCTGCATGGCTGCCTTCATGGGGTGCCGAAAGGAGCAGGCATCACTCAAGAAAACAATGGAGAAGGCTCTCGGCAGGCACTTCTGAAAGCCTTGAAGCCATGTCTGGTATGTTTGGTTGTCCTCTTGTCGTGGTTAACGACATTGCGCAAGCTCACAAAATCTCAAACGTTGCAGGAGCGTGTTCAGCGAAGAGCGTCAGGTGCGCTTCATGCAAGAGGTCACTGCCGAGAGTATGCCGAGGGCAGTCCTGCTAAGGTTGCTCAAACCGAAGCTGCTGCAAATGACCTGCTTGAGTCGGACGCGCCGCTCGAACTTGGCTATGTTCTTCCATGCTCTTCCTCTGGCATTCAAGGAGTTTGATGCGACAGACAAACAGCCCTCAAGTCAGGCAACGACGAGCCTTGCCAACTCCGAACGGGCTATTCCAGGCTTGGAGCGCAGGGCCAATCAAAGCAGACAAGTAAAATGTAGCATCTGCTTTCCGAGCTTTCGAGCGCCGCGCTGTTCGGAGCCTGAGGACTCCAACCGCAAGCACTTGACACGAGAAGGTGCTAAGGACCGTATCCTTGAGCAGCAGAATGTGATGCCAGCATTGTGCTTGCCTTGCAGTGCTCACACGGCTTGCCGGACAGCTTACTCGCAGAGTAAAGTCAGCATAAGTCAGCAACGGCTTGCTGTCTTGCATTTTTCCTAGACTGGAGAAGTGACAAGTCTCTTCCGCTTTCGGCTTGGTGAAATGTAGGCTGCCCTTATTCAGGACCTGCTGCATGCTCTGCGTGACGCATACAAAGACAGTACGTTTCAGAAGCAGGCGCTGACTGGCATGTTTGTTGAGCATCTTCACGAATCAGCCTGATCTGAGCTCATGAGGTCCTAAAGCTCGCACGTGATGTTCGCGGTGAAAAGGCAGCCAGCTGTGTGAAGGTCACAGAAACTGCGGTTTGGTTGATACTTGTAAAGTACAAGGGGTCTGTTGTTATCTTAAGCTGTACTCGAAGATGGTTCTTAGACGTTCGCCACTCGCATAGCTTTACAAGTATCAGCAGTTTTGTTAAGCCTGCCCGATCACCATCTAGTGCGCACATGTGTGCAAGCAATTGTTGATGTCGCCGCCAGCGCCCCTTTCTCGCCAACCTCGCCAAAGTTGTTTGGGGCTTACGTCGGGGCATTGGGGCTTGCATCCATTTTGCTGTGAGCTGCAGTGGGCTTTTGCCAAATCAAGGCGCTGCCTTTGCAGAAGCCCGTCTTGGAGAAGCAGCGCACTCAAGCCATCGAAAGCATGATTTCGAGTGCTGCAGCCGAGTCATAAGGTTCGGCTTTGAACCCAGCGAGAAGGGGCTAAAAGAAATGATGCGAGCAGTACAGGCTGCCTTGGCTCTTGTCGCTCTTTTCTCTAATTCAGAGCATCTTCGACTGGCCTTGCTTGGACTATCTTGTATTCAAATCGTGCAAACCGTGGAAGGACTACACACGTGGGCCGAAGGCGGACGAGAGAGTCAAGAGGTGCAATGCGTGAGTGTGGCAGAGCTGCCAAAGGTTTGCAATGGTGTCCGATGGTGTGTGCCGCCAGGGCCGCTGATGAGACGACAGTCGCGCTCTACGGGGCGCCTTGTCCCATCCGAGGAGTACTCGGTCGTGCTGTGGCAAATCACTGTGGCTCAGGTCATGTACGACACGCTCACTCTTCCAGACGACCGCGCCATACGGCCACAGTTGGAGGCTTCCTGCCGGAACTGCACACAAACACGTCAGTAAAGTAAAGTCCGCTACAGGCAAGACTTGGCCGAAACCACGACGATGAAGACGGTGAAAGTTGAGGCTGCTCGACTCTGCCACACGAGTTCTACCGCTGTGTCTTTTCAGATCATTTCAGATCTCTTTTGCCTGGCTCGCAGAGGCCGGTGCTTTCCACCAAAGCAGTGCACCAGCTGCTCTGGTACACCAAAAACAGCCAAATACTGACTACCTCCATCTCATGGTTTATGTTTTCTGTCTTCAGGATAAGTGAATTTGAGTCAGGCGGCCGAAGCTAATTTTTACAAGAAGAAATTTCTAGGAAATTACAGGAAATTTCAAAATGCCGCGCGATCAGGCGATGGCAAGGCGGACCACACTATTTCCTTGAGGAAAGGAATGAAGGAAATATCTATGGAATACATATACCCCCACCAGTTTTGCGATTTGTTTTTGTGGTGATTCTATTTGTTAATTTCTGATTATTTAAATTTGCGGTGTAATCTAGAAAAAGCTGGGATTTGCGATGTATATCCCTATAAAAGGCTACGGGCTCGACCCCTATTTTCGCTCTGCGGCCGCCCCGTCGGATGCCCCGCCTCCTCTTCCGGTCCATTTGGCTGCTTGTGAGGGCCTTGCAGGGGGATCCTGAAAATTCCGGGAATTTTAACGCTTATTGTCTAAAAATCCCGGGAATTTTGGGAATTCCCCGGAGCTGAAAATTCCCGGAATTTTAGGAATTGTCCGGATTGAGGTTTGGGCTTTCCTTGGGCTGTCACGGCGTTGTCCGCTTGGTCCGCTTGGGTGGTTTTTGGCTGTCACGGTGTTGTCCGCTTGGTCGGTTTTGGGCTGTCACGGCGTTGTCCGCTTGGTCCGCTTGGGCGGTTTTGGGCTGTCACGGTGCTGTCCGCTTGGTCGGTTTTGGGCTGTCACGGTGTTGTCCGCTTGGGCGGTTTTGGGCTGTCACGGTGCTGTCCGCTTGGTCGGTTTTGGGCTGTCACGGTGTTGTCCGCTTGGTCCGCTTGGGCGGTTTTGGGCTGTCACGGTGCTGTCCGCTTGGTCGGTTTTCGGCTGTCACGGTGTTGTCCGCTTGGGCGGTTTTGGGCTGTCACGGTGTTGTCTGCTTGGTCGGTTTTGGGCTGTCACGGTGTTGTCCGCTTGGGCGGCTTTGGGCTGTCGCGGTGTTGTCCGCTTGGGCGGTTTTTGGTTGTCACGGTGCTGTCCGCTTGGTCGGTTTTGGGCCGTCATGGTGTTGTCCGTTTGTTTTGGGTTGTCACGGTGTTGTCTGTTTGGTCGGATGTTCGTTGTCACGGTGTTGTCCGCTTGGGCGGTTTTTGGTTGTCACGGTGCTGTCCGCTTGGTCGGTTTTGGGCCGTCATGGTGTTGTCCGTTTGTTTTGGGTTGTCACGGTGTTGTCTGTTTGGTCGGATGTTCGTTGTCACGGTGTTGTCTGCTTGGTCGGTTTTGGGTTGTTATGGTGTTGTCCGCTTGGTCTGCTTTGGTGGTTTTGGGTTGTCATGGTGTTGTCTGTTTGGTCGGTTTTGGGTTGTTGTGGTATTGTCCGTTTGGTCCGCTTGGGTGGTTTTGGGTTGTCATGGTGTTGTCTGCTTGGTCGGTTTTGGGCTGTCACGGTGTTGTCTGCTTGGGCGGTTTTGGGCTGTCACGGTGCTGTCCGCTTGGTCGGTTTTGGGTTGTCACGGTGTTGTCCGCTTGGTCCGCTTAGGCGGTTTCGGGCTGTCACGGTATTGTCTGCTTGGTCGGTTTTGGGCTATCACAATTTGTTCGCCTGATCCGCTTGGGTGGTTTTGGGCTGTCACGGTGTTGTCCGCTTGGTTGGTTTTGGGCTGTCATAGTGTTGTCCGCTTGGTCCGCTTGGGTGGTTTTGGGTTGTCACGGTCTTGTCCGCTTGGGCGGCTTTGGGTTGTCACGATGTTGTCCGCTTGGGCGGTTTTGGGTTGTCACAGTGTTGTCCGCTTCGTCGTTTGGGGTGTCATGGTGTTGTCCGCTTGGGTGGTTTTGGGTTGTCACGAAATTGTCTACTTGGTCGGTTTTGGGCTGTCATGGTGTTGTCCGCTTGGGCGGTTTTGGGCTCTCATGGTGTTGTCTGCTTGGTCGGTTTTGGGTTGTCACGGTGTTGTTCGCTTGGTCCGCTTGGGCGATTTTGGGTTGTCATGGTGTTGTCTGCTTGGTCGGTTTT